GTGTCATTAGGTAGATTGTTTTACACGTTCGAAATAAAATCAAAGATAATTTTGACAAAATGTTTTTTCTTCAGTTTTAAATCAGACGTGCAGGTGGAGAAATGAAACTCACCTGAGACTTTATGAACGACGTCGAACGAGGAGAAGTGGCAGAATGCGGCGGCAGCGAGAACGCAGTAGCTGTAGTCCAGAGAGTTGATGTCCAAGATGCACAGGTCCAACAGCTGCAACACACAGAGACGCGTTACTAACACAAAACAATAAGAAACGGTTGGTTGTTCAGCAGAGATGAGACCCTGGGCTGAAGTCCAATAGTCCATTTAGTTTAGGAACCTTCCTAACGGAGTGAAATGACCCGGAAGTCCCTCAGTGGCAGCCATGATAAGTGCCGTTCCAATTCTCTAGATGAAAGGAAAGGAGGTTTCAAACTTCCTTTAGCTTAGGAACCACTGGACCTCCCTAGCCGAAAGGAGAGGAGAAAATGCTGCCCCACAATGCCTTGCAGCCGCAGCATTTGCCGTCACACAACAGTCGGCCGTTCACGGAAACAACCGATTATGAACGAGAAATGATATCATGAAAGTTACGGTGCTTATTAAGCATTTTAAAACGTATGTGGTAAGTTGCCAAAGTGCTTTGTTTTGAACGTTCATCAGTATTATAATCAAAAAGAGAAATTTGAACGTTAGTTTTTACTGAAATGATCAAATAAAGTCAACATTTCAGTCTTTACTGAGCTGTGTGGGGTTTGTTCAACTTTTAAAGGTTTTAAGGTCAAGGAATAGACGATAGGAGCTGATTTTTGGATTATCTGACCGCAACCCCTGACTCAGCGTTTTATCACTTCCTGTCCCCTTGTCTGGAGGTCAATGGTTTCCTGAACACGTTTTTGGTTGTTAGCCTGCAATAAAGTCTGTGGTTAAGACAAGCTGAAGAGATTTTTATTCTACGACATAAAACACGTCAGGAAATACCCCACTGGTGGATTTAAACTAACAATTGCCTAAATGAGACGACTAAACGTCATCACGCCTAACATTAGCTACCTTTAGCTTAGCGGTGGTGACGTGAAGTCATGTGACCGTGCTGTAGTTCCTTTATAGCCTAACATTAGCCACCTTTAGCTTAGTGGTGGTGACGTGAAGTCATGTGACCGTGTTGTAGTTCCTTTATAGCCCAACATTAGCTTAGCGGTGGTGACGTGAAGTCATGTGACCGTGCTGTAGTTCCTTTATAGCCCAACATTAGCCACCTTTAGCTTAGCGGTGGTGACGTGAAGTCATGTGACCGTGCTGTAGTTCCTTTATAGCCCAACATTAGCCACCTTTAGCTTAGCGGTGGTGACGTGAAGTCATGTGACCGTGCTGTAGTTCCTTTATAGCCCAACATTAGCCACCTTTAGCTTAGCGGTGGTGACGTGAAGTCATGTGACCGTGCTGTAGTTCCTTTATAGCCCAACATTAGCCACCTTTAGCTTAGCGGTGGTGACGTGAAGTCATGTGACCGTGCTGTAGTTCCTTTATAGCCCAACATTAGCCACCTTTAGCTTAGCGGTGGTGACGTGAAGTCATGTGACCGTGCTGTAGTTCCTTTATAGCCCACCGTTAGCTTAGCGGTGGTGACGTGAAGTCATGTGACCGTGTTGTAGTTCCTTTATAGCCCAACATTAGCTTAGCGGTGGTGACGTGAAGTCATGTGACCGTGCTGTAGTTCCTTTATAGCCCAACATTAGCCACCTTTAGCTTAGCGGTGGTGACGTGAAGTCATGTGACCGTGCTGTAGTTCCTTTATAGCTCAACATTAGCCACCTTTAGCTTAGCGGTGGTGACGTGAAGTCATGTGACCGTGCTGTAGCTCCTTTATAGCCCAACATTAGCTTAGCGGTGGTGACGTGAAGTCATGTGACCGTGCTGTAGTTCCTTTATAGCCCAACATTAGCCACCTTTAGCTTAGCAGTGGTGACGTGAAGTCATGTGACCGTGCTGTAGTTCCTTTATAGCCCAACATTAGCCACCTTTAGCTTAGCGGTGGTGACATGAAGTCATGTGACCGTGTTGTAGTTCCTTTATAGCCCAACATTAGCTTAGCGGTGGTGACGTGAAGTCATGTGACCGTGCTGTAGTTTCTTTATAGCCCAACATTAGCCACCTTTAGCTTAGCGGTGGTGACGTGAAGTCATGTGACCGTGCTGTAGTTCCTTTATAGCTCAACATTAGCCACCTTTAGCTTAGCGGTGGTGACGTGAAGTCATGTGACCGTGCTGTAGTTCCTTTATAGCCCACCGTTAGCTTAGCGGTGGTGACGTGAAGTCATGTGACCGTGTTGTAGTTCCTTTCTAGCCCAACATTAGCTTAGCGGTGGTGACGTGAAGTCATGTGACCGTGCTGTAGTTCCTTTATAGCTCAACATTAGCCACCTTTAGCTTAGCGGTGGTGACGTGAAGTCATGTGACCGTGCTGTAGTTCCTTTATAGCCCAACATTAGCCACCTTTAGCTTAGCGGTGGTGACGTGAAGTCATGTGACCGTGCTGTAGTTCCTTTATAGCCCAACATTAGCCACCTTTAGCTTAGCGGTGGTGACGTGAAGTCATGTGACCGTGCTGTAGTTCCTTTATAGCCCAACATTAGCCTCCTTTAGCTTAGCGGTGGTGACGTGAAGTCATGTGACCGTGCTGTAGTTCCTTTATAGCTCAACATTAGCCACCTTTAGTTTAGCGGTGGTGACGTGAAGTCATGTGACCGTGCTGTAGTTCCTTTATAGCCCAAGATTAGCCGCCTTTAGTTTAGCGGTGGTGACGTGAAGTCATGTGACCGTGCTGTAGTTCCTTTATAGCCCAACATTAGCTTAGCGGTGGTGACGTGAAGTCATGTGACCGTGCTGTAGTTCCTTTATAGCCCAACATTAGCTTTTTACTTCAGAAATCATCACGTGGTGTTGATATGTGGAGATTATCGTGCTGAACTAAACGTGCAAGTATCAAACGTTGAGATTATTTTCAGCAATAATCCGAAAGCAGCAATCCCATTGAACCAGGGAGATGCTGCCTTCAGGGTCCACTACAGAAATACGACATCTCAGTATCAAGCAGTGTGGAAGTGTTGCAGGTACCTGTGTGATCTGGATGTACGTTTCCTGAGAGAACTGCGGCACCAGGAAGTTTTCTCCGTCCGTCTGCGCCTCCACCTGAGCGTAGAGCTTCAGCCACGAGATCGGAGTCTCCGGACACAAGTTCCAGTTCAACGCCTGCAACACGAACACACACAGGTCAACACACTGAGACGGGTGTTTGCATTTTACTGACATTAATACTTATAAATATGTGCTGGAATACAAAAACAAAGAGTTTAATTTGTTTGTAAATGAAGTTGTTTATAGGACCTGCTGATGTTATTAGGACATCAAAGCACTACTAAATACTGCTCGTCACTGTACAGTATTTACATTAATGATGTGACCGTCTGTTTCCTGTGGATATTAAATTGCTCTTTTTACTGCACTGTTAGTGTACAGTTTTATTATTATGCTGCTGTGAATAAATAAAGTCTTATCTTACATCCTTAAACTCTTAAACTAAAAAGCAGCGGATGCAGTTCATGAAAAGTGTTTTTTTTAATAAGCGCACCTTCAGTATGTGCAGCTCAGTGCGCTGGATGTCCCAAAAGGTACACGCTCCGTCCGTGACGTAGGCGAAGTCCAAGATTTTAGGAGGGTAGATTTCCTGCAGAGATCAGAGGAACAGCAGAAATGATAAGCAACTTGATCTTCATAAGAAACGTACACAACGAGACTGAGATGTTATTGTGGGGCTTTGAGTGACTATATAAAAAACTAAAGACTATAATAAATATTGTAACTTGTATGTCACACTAGACATGCAGTAATATACCCTTGGATGTAAATACTGGAAGACTTTCAGGATGCTCTCACCTCGATCTTGGAGGCGATGAAGAGCGCGGAGATGCCGATGAGCTGCAGGTAGTCTTTGTTCACGTTCTCCTGAGTCAGCATGAAGCGGTCAAAGAAATCCTGAGCCAGGTAGGCCGTCTGCCGGTGGAGCGAGTGCACCTCACACACCTGAACACAAACACACACACCTTAACACAAACACACACACCTGAACACAAACACACACTGGACGGGCATTTGTGCAGCTTTTAGGAGTCATGTCCAGGTGTATATCAGTATGTAGTGTCTCTACTTTAAAGAGTCCTCTCCTGCTGATGTCCAGGTGTATATCAGTATGTAGTGTCTCTACTTTAAAGAGTCCTCTCCTGCTGATGTCCAGGTGTATATCAGTATGTAGTGTCTCTACTTTAAAGAGTCCTCTCCTGCTGATGTTCAGGTGTATATCAGTATGTAGTGTCTCTACTTTAAAGAGTCCTCTCCTGCTGATGTCCAGGTGTATATCAGTATGTAGTGTCTCTACTTTAAAGAGTCCTCTCCTGCTGATGTCCAGGTGTATATCAGTATGTAGTGTCTCTACTTTAAAGAGTCCTCTCCTGCTGATGTCCAGGTGTATATCAGTATGTAGTGTCTCTACTTTAAAGAGTCCTCTCCCGCTGATGTTCAGGTGTATATCAGTATGTAGTGTCTCTACTTTAAAGAGTCCTCTCCTGCTGATGTTCAGGTGTATATCAGTATGTAGTGTCTCTACTTTAAAGAGTCCTCTCCCGCTGATGTTCAGGTGTATATCAGTATGTAGCGTCTCTACTTTAAAGAGTCCTCCCTCACCTCCAGCAGCCAGTCCAGCAGGATGGCTCTCATCTTGGGCTGCAGCTTGGGATGTCTCTGCAGGTAACTTTTGTCGTGGACGTACTTCAGCTCCTTGTTGAGCATTTTGATCCAAACGTCGTCCGAGCTGGCCCAGCTGCAGGACAAACACCGGGGGTTAGTATCTCTATAGGAGAACGTCCTGAAACTGTCCCTGGGACACATCCAAAATCGACTAGTTCAATTGGTCAGTGTGTCGTTCAAAGTGACCGGTGAGATGTCAATTTACCGGTTATTATCGGTATCTATTATTGAGATTTAAATAACCTGTTAAGCCCAGAGCCTGTTTTCCAGGTCTCAGGCTCGAAAATGACATTCCCAGAACAAATGACCATAACTACACTTCTAAAAAGGGGTATATGAATAATCTTTTTTCTCAAAGTAATGATAAACCTGTGAGTTGGATGTAGAAGAGTCAGAATCAATATAGAATATAAGTAATAAGTAAATTCAGATTGAACATAGTAAAACAAATTAAATTATAGTGTCCGTCCAAAAAACAACATTACTTATTGTGAAAACCACTAGCACTTCTGTGCTAAGTGTGTTAGCATTTTTTCGCTCAGGGCTAATTCAGAGCCTTTGGTATTACCCTTTTGTTTCCTTTTGCTAAAAATGGTTAATATTGTCTGAAAGCTGAGTTTTTTCCCGTTAAGTGGGTACACACATTCATCGTTTCTTAAATGTTAAGAAGCCCTTAGACGCTGTTTCTTGCAAGCTGTTGCGTTTTGCCCCCGTGTGGTTTAACTGGTTAATTCAGAATCACCATGAGACTGGGACGACACACAAAGTCTGAATAGAGACTCTTTCAGTGGGAACACTGAGTCGGGCGGAGCAGCAGCTCAGCGCGACGAGTCATTGAGGTGTAAAACACACTCTCTCTCACCTGAGGCGGGGGATGGGGGAGGCCTTGATGAAGAGGTTCTTGAAGCGGTACTGCTTGAAGCTGGACGGGTCAGCGGGCTCCAGCTCTTTGTGCGGCGTCTCGATGAGGAGGCAGGGACTCGCTCCGTCCTCAGACCAACACTTCTGGAAGCAAATACACACAGACGAGGTGAATAAATATAACAAAACAAAGACTGTAATAATGCTTTACCTGTACGGCACTTTACAAACACCAGGGGAAGCTCAAAGTGCTTTAACTCCATGGTAAACATCAACATTTAAAATAGAGACCATCAATTAAATATCAGGTCAGACGTTACTGTCGGCCTTTTATTGGCAAGCTTACCTCAAATGTGCTGTAAATAATAGTTTACCAGTCAAGCTCACCGGTGACACCTTGTGGTGACAGCAGGTACTGCACTGTTACTACAAAGGGCCCTTAGGAGTGACCTTAATCTGACCAAATCAAGAACAAACTAATAATGTGTAATAGCTTATTGATGTGCTTTGTTCCATACTTAGATAATGTGTGGGAGACTAAACGGGGGCAAAAGAAAGCCAGGTGTATTATGTGTGATCTATGGTGTAACAAAATGGACGCTCTCAATAAAAGCAAGCTAGTTTCCATTACTGAACTTTAAATACTCAAAGTGAAGCTAGTTTTAGAAACTGAAACAGGCTACAGGGAGGGGACACACAACACAGATATAAACAATACACACATCCCAGCCTAAACTCGACACACACTAATTCAGAGTGATGACCTGTGGACACACTGACCTGGATTTCATAGCTCTGTTTTTTGGCAGCAGGTTGTAGTTTTTTCTTTGAGGGCTGGAGAAGAACACAAATAAATGGGAGAGTTAGCATCAGTGCTAACGGCTACAGCAGGGTAACACTGTTATAATGTTATGTCCAAAGACACACACAAGTATTAAACAACACAAACCTCTGATTTCCTTTTCTTCAGGGGGGCTTTGACGGTCGGCACGAGTGCGTTTGAATATCTGGCTTGCAAAGTAATGCGACCACTGAAATACAAAATTAAAGTGCATCAGATTTAAGTACAAGGAATCTCATGGTATGCAACTGCTACGGGTCATTTGAGTGACTTACGGGCATGAATCAGATTTATTACATGTGTTTTAGTCGGATTGTATTAACACAAGTAACTGTGTGCTAAAGCTACTGTGATCCTGTAACGTGTGTATAAAGGTTTACTGAAGTTCATTCATCATGCAGATTATTACTTTAAAGTTTAGTAGAAGTACTCAGGTCTTGTTCTTGAGTAAAAGTAGAAGTACTTGGGTCTTGTACTTGAGTAAAAGTAGAAGTACTCAGGTCTTGTACTTTAGTAAAAGTAGAAGTACTAGAGTGTAGGAATACTCTGTTAGAGTAAAAGTCCTGCATTCAAAATGTTACTCAAGTAGAAAAGTATTATCATCTAAATATAGTGAAAGTAGCGACAGTATTTCACATCATTCATTCAGATCGAGTAAAAGTACACAATTTAAAGTAGCATAAAATGGAAATCATCAATTCTAGTTCTTTGAAATGGTACTCATCAAGTATAGTACTTTAGTAAATGTACTCAGTTACTTCCCACCTCTGACTGCAGATCATATGACCCACCAAAATATTGATTTGTAATCAAGAAGGTGAAGAAGCCACTCAAATGAATGCTCATATTTTCTTTGAATTATTAAATAACAGCATGTAAATATATATAACCACCCAGCAGTACCAACAGACTAACTGGGTGATGTCCTGGCCCCCCCCGTTGGTCCCCACACCACAGCTTGAGAACCAGCTCTTACCTGCGTCTGGACATTGTGTAGAGTATCTTTATGGCTCCTGCAAAGAGAAAGAGGAGCCGGTGAGGATCACATGCAGATAAATATCAATATCCTGCAGTTACTCCATTCCACTGTACGGCAGTCATTCTGTTCTTGTATAACTTATTATATTAACATGAATACACACACTTCTGCACTTTCTCACTAAATAATATGCACAATTGTATTCTAGTTTCTTCTGGCACCATTTAAAACAAATGTATTTTACGTCTTATATACACTACGTTGCATTTTTGGAAGAGCTTGGCCATTCAGATTCTCATTGCATATCCATATGTAGCTACAGAGCATCTGACAATAAGGCTTATGAATATTGTGGTATTTTAGAGGAGGGGAGGGGAGGGGGGGCATGCTGAGGAGCCACTGGGCCCCAATAAGCACCAGATGACATGCAACCAGAACCAGGTTACACTGTGTTAGACCCTCACAGTGAGGGTCTAACGCAGTGTAACTGGACCCCAACTTGTAAGAGCACCTCACAGGTTAGTGATAGCTAGCCTGTGAGGTCAGAGGTTCAGCTGTACAGCTCAGTAAAGAGGGTTAAAGTGGCTTTAACAAACAGTGATGGTCAGCTAACTAAGCTAAAGCTCCACATGTGAACATGATTACACATTTCATTAAATAGCAGGTTTATAAACCAGATGAAAGTGATAATAAAGAGCCAGACTAGCTCTGTAAGCTAGTGTGGTGACTACAGCCAAAAGAAAGGAGGGGGGCTGATTGTTCCCTCGATTTCAAACAAAAAAAGATCATAAATGCTGCATTAAAACGCACTTTTATCCCCTGTATTGGTTAACCAAACATCTCAATGCGAGTGTAGTGCAGTTTTAAAGTGTGGAAAGGAAGTGATATGGACTTTATTTCAGGATTGAAACTCAAAGACGCGCCAATTTCAGAAGCTCAGAAGCGGGAGGATTTGAGCTCAGCCTCCGCCGAATCTCCTGCAGCTTCAGCGGGGAAACGAGTGGAAAACAGCCCAATATCGGCCTAAACCCGACATCAACTGCTGGGGTAAACTCTTGGGGATATCATATCTGAACACAAACCTTGAAAATGGTTATTAAATGCGGATAAACCGAGACCACAGCGAGGCTACTTTGTGCAGAGGAGCTACAGTAATTAGCAAACCTAGCCTGGGTCAGCTAACTAGGTCAACAATAACCAGCTAACTCTGACCCTCCATTATAACACCCGTGATATAGAACAGTGATACTCAGTCTGAAGAAACACGAATAGAAAGGGACACTTTAACAGTTTAAAATCACAACAACAGCAAGTGTTACTGGAAATAAACTCCTCTTAAAACTAAAACTCTCACCAAGTACAGTCTGAAACCCAATATAATACAGAGGAAACCCACTTTTATATGAGGTAGAATACAAGATGAGAATAAGATATGAATGCAGCGTCTCGATCGCACTTTTTAACCCACATTTACAGCCAACTGGTCAACTTTTAACCCCAAGTTACAGCAAACTGCTCTATTTTTAACCCACATTTACATAAAAACGCTCAATTTTTAAGGGCAAACCGTGCCATGCAGACCCTTTGAGGCGAGACTCAGACATCCCGCGTTATTAGGCAGATTTTAAAGGATAAAAGTGTCTTGGAAGGTCTCTTACCTCCTCGCTGGAGAGTCAGTGAATGAATGGATGCATCAGCTGTGGCGCCGGCGCCAATCTTTATATCCGCGTCTGCCCACTGCGCATGCGCGTTCCCGGTTAACAGAAACCCGCTAAATGTTCAAATCCCGTGAGAGATTTTCACAAACGGGCAGAGTTCCCATGTGATTAACGTCCCGAGAGCGAATGAAGATGTTTGTTTAATGATATATCATTAATATGCAGCTCTGGGGGAGTTAACGGCTTAACGGAAACGTAAGGACGCGATTTAAAGGGATTTTAACGGAGTTTCACCGGAGCCTCCGTTCATTTCGAACTTTCTATTAAGTTTAAACGGCTTTCCGTTCATTCCGGCTGAACTCTAACGGCTCGTTTCACTCACTCACCTCACATAGCGTCGGTACTCCGCGCTAACATTCACTTTTAACGGAGATATTTACCCTTTTTTTACGCGGTACTAAAACTGCTTCCGCATACGAGTCCCGCCGGTGGGAGGACACTGCGATACGTCAGGCCTATCACAGAGCGAGGGAGTCACTGCGTGACGTCAAGCCAATCGGAGAGCGAGCTGCCACCGCCGCGTGCTTCCTGCGCAGAAAGTAAACAGACACAGCACATGGAGCAGCTGTCAAACAAACTGCTGCTGCTGATTCTATTTTATATTATTAAAGGTGATAACTTTTTGATAATAATAATAATAATAATTAACAATTGTATTATTATTTATTCAAAATATTATGTTATTATTATTTGTCTTCTTATTTATCATGATTATAAATATGATGCATATTACGTTCATTGTTTTACAACGGTAGAAATACTGCCGATTACTTTTTAAAATTATGTACTTATTTGTATTTGAACAGTATAAAGACGTAGTACTGTGATAATCAGGTTTTTTTTCAGGGTATTTTATTGCATACAAATATCTATGTATATCCTATATACACAATCAACAGACACATTTAAACATATGCACAAAAACACAACAATCAATATATACAGAAGTGACTTATTTTGTTTGATTGTTGTGGTTTTGATGATGATAGGATATACATATTTGTATTTTTGTATTCAGGATTGTGGGAAACGGTATTTCGATCTCTCTGTCTGTACACAAACTGAAAGACTGACAATAAAGTTGACTTTGACTTTGAAAACGTTGCAATATTATCAATTACAGGTTTGACTTTGAATTTGAAAAGTGAAAATATTGACAGTGTCACCAATTATGTATTAATTATATATAGCTTGTCTTATAGTTGCACATTTCTAGATCAAGTGGAAATGAATGATTTTCCATGTTTGCCTGATGTGCATATTAACACAATATTAAAGTGCATTTATGTACCTGCTAACCTCGTAATAGAGACCTTTTGCCCAATGTGCTGCACTCTGTTTGGGAACGTATGTTAGTCGTGTGTACCTCTGATGGGGCTCCAGTGGCTGCAGACCATCACCCCCATTGAAGCCTTTTCCTCCGTGTAGATCTTCTCATATGAGTAAACAACAACAACTTCTACACTCAGCCTCAAAGGAAAGAACGTTTCTATTTGACCGGATCTGGAACCCCTTCTTTGATGACCTGGGAGTCTCTCGATCTCACAGGGTTACGTCTGGACTGGTAGATCCCGCCTGGAAAAGGACTTAGTATAATAACATGTCAAAGTGTGCTAGTGTTTTAGGTATTGAGTATTAATTGAGGGCCTCCCGAGGTAGGGGCACCCACCGCTCTGTCCCTGAGCTCCCTTTTATATAATCCAATCCAATCCAACTTTATTTTTATATAGCACTTTAAAACCTCCAGACCAAAGTGCTGTACAGAGAGATACAGAACATATAACATCACACAGCTCAGCTCAGAAAACATGAAAATAAGTATAAAATCACATAAAAGGTACGAACACAAGGTTCTCTTTTCCTAGTCGGTTTCTCCTCCCCCTAAATCCATCACAGTATGATTGGGTCTAATCTCCAAAACGTATATTACCCCTTGGGCGATACACATGTTATCACATTTATGGAATAAGTCTCTCCTGATTGAATTGTTGCTGTTTTCAAATGCTCTGCAGAAAATGTTCAATAAAAAGTTAGTATAGAAACACACAGGGATGTTAGCCTTTGCAGACCATTTACAGCAGGGGGGTCAAACTCAGTGGCGTTTTTATATGTACAAAAGTGGTGGGGCACAAAAAACTTAGATGTCTATATATAAGCTTCTGCAGTGACGTGCAGTGAGGTTCATGGCTGCTGAGGCACTGGCACTGACTCTTCAGGTTTACAAATATTATATTTTGACCTAAACCAAAATATAATATTATTTTCAAAAGCTTTTTTTGTCTGATGCTTCGATTAATTTTAAACAGACAGTTCAACAAAAGGATACCCAAAAAATGTAATTTTATCATTTAAATATTGAATTGTTCTCTCTTAGTAAGATCCCATTTTCAATAAAATGGCGGTCTTACCTTGACTTGAAGATGAAGTCCATTTGCCTATCCTTCTGGACAAACATGTCTATAACTTTTTTGTAAAAGTCCTCCTTATCTTCTTGTAGTTTCAAAAGTCTATCATAAATCTAATCCATAGATTTATGATAAAAAAATGATAAAAGTAGGGTAGACATGTGGATGTTATCCGGCTGAACAAAACGTGCATTTATCTAACAGGTACGTTTCCCACAGATCTTATTTGGAGCTATTTTCTAAAATCCTATGGAGAAATCTCATTGCTTTTTTGTGCTTACTTCCTGGTTTTAGGACGCGTCACTGCAGCTCTCTCGTCTCCTCTTCACACAGCACACTTTTCGCGGCACAAGTACTTACAGCCAATCAGCTCTGAATGATGTGAGATGACGTATGGTGGGGATGGTAGCTCTGTGCCCCTAAGGACCTTTTTTTTTTTGCCACACATTACATTGAAAAATACTCTGAGCATGCGCAGTGTAGTTTTTACAGTCACCGTTCACTTTGACAGTGAGAGGGAGGGGCATGGTCAGGTTTTGTCCCACATGGCTCAAAACGGCACTGTAGACACTAATTAGAAGAACACAGACTAAAACAGCAATGTACAGACGAATCAGACGATTAAACATGACCTTAAAATATATTCTATATCTTTTTTTATTTCTTTTTTTTTGCATCTCTTTGCATTTTTTGTAATCATTATGTGTAATACTTTCTGCTGACACTAGGTGGGGCTGTGCCCCACCTGCCCCTAATGACCAGTCGCCACTGGTCAAACTCAATTTCATCGCGGGCCACATCAGCATTAAGGTTGCACTCAAAGGGCCGGTTGTAACTTTAAGACTATATAAATATACATATATATATATAAAATAATGTATTATTTTACATGATTGCCTCTGCATTGGATTGTTATCGGATAGGGTATAACTTCATAATTAACTACGTCTGAGAGCAGAAGTCTAGGGCAAATCATTTCAAATAATTGCAAGTCTCTTCAGTGCGCATGTCGCAAAATGAGATGCATTGTGGGACATGTCGTTTATGGGCAAGGTGCTTCTGTAAAGTGGCATGAAACCGTATAATAAACGTATTATATTTTTTGCAAGCTCTTGTGGGGCCACATAAAATGAAGTCGGGGGCCGGATTTGGCCCACGGGCCTTGAGTTTGACACCCCTGATTTACAGGCACATAAACCTACATAAAACACTACCAGGGAACACCTGAAAAGCAGAACAGGGCCTCTTTAAAGCCCCACTATAAAACCATAAGTTGTCTTAAATGTTAGCATATTTGTCTTCTACGGAGGAGTGAAGAAACAAACGGAGAGCTGCGTATGAAAACATTTATTACCCAATAAAGAGCGATCACATGTATTAACTATTACAGTCAGACGACAGATGACCCCACGGTTTCGTTAGCATTCATTTGACATCAGAGTGAATTGATCTGTCATACATCCAAAATAAAACCATTGAGACGAGAAATGCTGATAAATAAAAAACCCAAAATACAATTCCTACACCTTTTTTTTTTTTTTACTTTTTGGCAAAGTGCTATTATTCCAGTAAACTACACAAACAAATAAAAGCAAAACAATGTCTAACACTTGGTGGGAAATAAAAATGCCACAAAATATTCTTCACACTTTTTAAAAAACAAACAAAGAGAGGTTTTGCTACATCGTTCTGTCTGGTTGTCGTTATAAAACTCAGAGTGGTGCATAGTTGGTTTCAAACAGTCCGTGTGTGTTTTTAAATTATGCATTCAGGACGTACATTTAAATTAAAAAAAGGGAGTTCAAGTTCTTCATTGATGCATTGTTATTTCAACATTTCAACCTGGAAGGCACAAGATCCACACATTTCAAGGCATTGATCAAATAAAACATTACAAATCCCTGTTAGTATGATGATGGAGCGAGATATAAAAACATTAGAGGCTCCGGACAGCAGGAGCGTTGCCTCCGATCCCTTCTGTCCTGAAGTTTGCCATTTTTTCAAAAACACAAAATAACATCGTAATGATTGCGAAGAGTAAAAGAGAGACGTGGAGAAATAAGAGAAGACTTAGGCCACGTTGACACGGAGACGAAACGGGTTGTATCCGCTACAGTTCTCTATCGTATAGGCGGTTCGTCCACACGAGGCCGACACGGAAACGCGGATAACGATAACGGCTCCCAAGGTGGGTAGATCTGCGGACGTAACGCTCTGGGGGGGCAAACGGCTCCGTGTGTACGCCCTATACGATCATTTCCTGAATCGATGACGCCATAGCCCGCATCTCCCAACCTCTGCTGCTCACCCGCGCGTCACTCGCGTCATTGCTGATGTGTTTCGCGAACAACAACAACAACAATGGCGGATCACAGGGTTGCGTTCGTGCTCCAGACGCTACTGACCATGCTACAGATGTTAGTGCAACATCTACAGCTCCTCTACCACAACCATCAGCAACAAGTGGACATGGAGAACTACATGAACTACATGTTGCTAAATCCACCGCGGAGAATAACCAGAAGGGCAACCATGGCAACCATGCTCAGGGGGTCTTCTTCGCTGCTTTTGGTGTATTTTGTGGCGGAAGTACAGCGCCACTTACAGGCCCGGCATATGTACCACAGCGTCTCCAGCGGGTCGAGTGGTCTCGTGTGGACGGACACGTTTCTTGAGCCGATTCCGGGTGGACGGAAGACTTTTTTGATATCGACTAAGGTTCGTGTTCGTTTTCGTCTCCGTGTAAACGTGGCCTTAAATACACCAGAGAGAAAACCACTCGACTAAGTATTTACAGCGACTCTAACAAACGTGTTAGTGCTTTGTTAATAATGCGACTGCTCCGTCACTAGGGATCAAATCTACTCTCTCGTGTTCATCCTGCACAGGTGGGATGATTTCACACAGGACCCACTCCCCAAATTATTATAGAAATGATCCTGTTTACCATTTACTGTTAACGTGCTTAATTTGACTCAAAAATAGAGGTCGCATTTTTACAATTAAGTCATCTGTGTTAAGAGTATTGATCAACATGAGCAGATTTGACATGTTCAGAAAAATGAAGATACTGAGTTACCGCGTGAGATTTGTATGGAAGTCCATTTCTGCAAAGAACTAAAAAGAAATATTAAAAGTTAGGAATCATTTTTAAAGAAGAAACACACAATAAGTAAAAGATAAGACGTGTCAAGTCTTAAAACCACATATAGTGTGATATAAGTCTACATGTTCTTGGCTTTTAATGTCACAATCATTAGATGTAAACAGAGGTGGGAAGTTACTATGTACATTTACTAAAGTACTGAACTTAAGTTCAATTTTGAGGTAATTTTACTTTCTATTTTACAGATTGAGAATAAAAAATGTGGCTGATTTTGAAGCATTTGAGGTCGAGATATCCTGACTTTTAGGGCAACCTCCAAAAACACTACATTTCCCATAATGCAACTTGACACAGTGTTTCCATTACAGCGTCTGCCTGGTACAGTCACATCTTTTAAACTGTTATTGTTAAATGTCCACAAAATACACCACACTTCTATGAGCAGTACTCATCAGGTTACATTAGTGGATCCTCAATTTAACTGTTATCTCGTTTTCAGTTGTCAAAAGGCATTCTGGGAAATGTAGGAACTTGCTGTCTTGAGTAAAAACAGCTGTTGGTGTTGGATTATTTGAGGGGATTTTTATTTTAAACTACTGTGTACTTTTACTGTGTACTTTGATGATGTGAAATACAATCAACTAGTACACGATGTGAGTACTTCACCACCTCTGGATGTAAAGTCGTAATGATGAGATAAATACGGGCCATAATAATAAAAAATGATGATTAAGCATCTTGTTTTTAACGCGTTCAAAGCTCTACCTTTGACTTTCTCTCTCGTTCTTTTGTCTCAGGTTGCGTGTTTTGTTTCTTCTCATTCCTAACATTTCCCCTTTTTTTTAATTTCCCTGACAGAAAGGAGCTTCCCGGGGATTCAGTCTTTACATCTACTTCCTCCTCGGCCCCCCGGGCTCCATTTTCCCAACAGCAAACTTTAGAGAGTCTACATTCAGAGCCCGGGGCCGAGAACTGTCAACAAACAAACAAGTAAAAACAACAACAACAATCAGTATTAGTAACTAGTGAGGAGATTATGCTACCATTTTTTGGTTTACATATTTTAAAATGTAACTAAGTGAACATGGGAAAAAAAGTACATTTCTAAAACCATGTGAGGTTAAATATGAACATGGACAGAGTGGATATTCACAGACCAACAGGAACTAAACTAATTATTTATCGCTAACGAGGGAAAGCTCGCCAGGGCGGAGCTGGAAAAAGCCAGAGCGAAAAATCATCAGCCGTCAAGTAAATCTGCGTTTTCCTAACGAGTGAAGGTGATTGGTTGTGACCCTGAGAAGTAGACTGCAGATTCATTTAAGAACAAAAAACAACAATTATTTTTCCATTTTCTTTTTTCCACCATCGTCACACTAACACAGCTCTACACCATGCGACAGACTGCACACTAACACAATCAAGCATACCTAACAAAAATAATATACTCGCATATATACCGACTTCATACTGATATGTAATTTATTTTTGTCTTTTCAAAAAATATTTTGGAAGTTTTTTTTTTATGTTAAATACTTTTTTCTTTTTTTTTTTTACATCTCTATTCATCTCAAAAGCTACCGTTAAAACAAGGCGTTTTAGTGATATTCAACCCAGTCATTTTTACCGTATTTTTTTGTGAAAAGTACTGAATTAGAGAGTCAGAGGCAGGTTCAACGACAACGTGACGCTGCAGGAAATCACAGAAACGGAAAAATCCCATCAAAATGCTCCAAGATAACGGTTCTGTTTTAGAGGAACAAGGAAGAGAGGGAAAGTGTATTTTGACAGAAATCCAACTCGTTTCTGTCTCTGTTTTTAGTTACTACTCCCTCCAGTATCTCAGAAGAACCCTCTGAATGCAGCATGTTCACGCCACGCTTAATACCGCAGAACAATTGCATATAGTGTACATGTCCCTGTATACAGCGAGGAAATTAAATAGTTTAAACCTGGAGAAAAAATAAATGTGGCTGATTTTGAAGCATTTGAGGTCGAGATATCCTGACTTTTAGGTCAACCTCCGAAAACACTACATTTCCCATAATGCAACTTGACACAGTGTTTCCATTACAGCGTCTGCCTGGTACAGTCACATCTTTTAAACTGTTATTGTTAAATGTCCACAAAATACACCACACTTCTATGAGCAGTACTCATCAGGTTACATTAGTGGATCCTCAATTTAACTGTTATCTCGTTTTCAGTTGTCAAAAGGCATTCTGGGAAATGTAGGAACTTGCGGTCTTGAGTAAAAACAGCTGTTGGTGTTGGATTATTTGAGGGGATTTCTGCTTTAAAGTCCGGACTCTTTGTTTAATAACTTTCCTGCTGACATCACTACTGGCAACTTCTTTGGGCAACACGTCGGGGCAACTACGAAAACTCCCTTGCACTGATTAAACGGCAAAAAAAATTGTTAATGATTTCCTGAGCACCCTACCCCGCTGTGAACCTGCCGCTGAGTAAAGTGACCAACAGCATTGATTCTACACATTAAGTTATCCGTGAAGAACAAGAAGAAGAAGAAGAAGAAGAAGAAGAAGAAGAAGAGGAGGGGGAGGAGAAGAAGAAAGAGAGAGAATCTTCTTCTCTGTGATTGGACGCACACCGGTCCAGTGGAAGGAGGGTAAAATAAGAAGAGACATGTTGACCTTTTCTCAATCAATATGAAGGAGGATGGAGGAGGGCTGCTAATATAAAATAAAAAAAGTCACCGGCCATTTTCCCTATTTCCCCTGATGAGGCGGTAACTGCTGGCTGATGACGTTGCTGGTGTTTCTTGAAGGGAGTCCTTTCCCTCTACGACGTGGCCCCGCCCCTTTTTGTGGGTGAAAACATGTGATTGGCGCTCAATATTCTGAGGTTTTCCCCGATCACATAAAAAAAAATGTTATTTCTGTTTCTGCAAGGAGCCTTATTAAGATGGTCAGTCAGGCGAACAATTAAGAAATGTCATTGAAGATCGAGGATCAGCGTCGATTTAGATCATTATGGGATGGATTTCCTTGGCTTGTCAGTGTTTGTATTTTTCAATGCAGCGACTGCTTTGACTTTAAACAAAACAACTGTTTACTCAGTCGGTTGACATTAGCATGATCAGCTGCTGTGATGAAGCGTTTCCCACACACGTACATTTATTAATTAATGAATTGGGATGGGGTCATTATTAAGGATACGAGGTCATGTGATCCCACCTTGTTATATTATTCGTCTGGATGTTCTTTTCCAGGTTGTTTTTGACAAAGTTCAACCGGGTCCCATTGATAAACCTATCTGTACTTTGATGTAACAACGAACATTTCCCCTTTGTGGGAATTCTGATTCTGAATCTATTGTTTTCCTCTTGGCGCCATGCCTTCTTTTCACCTGAAAGTGAAAGATCTGAGTACTTCTACTTTTACTCAAGTACAAGGTCTGAGTACTTCTACTTTTACTCAAGTACAAGATCTGAGTACTTCTACTTTTACTAAAGTACAAGATCTGAGTACTTCTACTTTTACTAAAGTACAAGATCTGAGTACTTCTACTTTTACTCAAGTACAAGGTCTGAGTACTTCTACTTTTACTCAAGTACAAGATCTGAGTACTTCTACTTTTACTCAAGTACAAGGTCTGAGTACTTCTACTTTTACTCAAGTACAAGATCTGAGTACTTCTACTTTTACTCAAGTACAAGGTCTGAGTACTTCTACTTTTACTCAAGTACAAGATCTGAGTACTTCTACTTTTACTCAAGTACAAGGTCTGAGTACTTCTACTTTTACTCAAGTACAAGGTCTGAGTACTCCTCTACAAGTCAGCCGTCTCGCTAAATCTGCAACATGCCAGCTGACGTTTCATTTTAACCGACGAAATGGGGCGGGGCCTTCATTTCGCCAGGAAGTGACTCATCTGTAGGAGGTGTGGGGGGGGGGGGGGCGTCAGAAGTTGAGGTGTCTCTGGCTGGGCTGGTGCAGGTGTTGGGGGGGCTTCGGGGGGCGCAGCAGGTTGAGGCGGCGCAGGGCGTTGCGGGACAGCTGTTGGGTGCGTTGCGCGGGGTTTCCTACCCACGGCTGCAGGAGGCCGGCACGGGCGTAGCAGGCCGAGTGGAGGCTGGAGCGCCGAGGGACAACCGCCACCTCCGGCCTGCAGGGGGCGACAGAGACCAGAGAGAGGGGTGAAACATGTACTTTTACTTTAAGTATATTTTGATGCTAATCATTTTGATGAGGAACATTTTGAATGCAGGACTTTTACTGAAACAGAGTATTCCTACACTCTGGTACTTCTACTTTACTCAAGTACAAGATCTGAGTACTTCTCTAATAGGATAAATAGTAACCTGTGTCGCTGGCCGTCCAGGGAGCGCCGGCCCTTCTTCTTCCCCCTGGAGGTGATGGAGGAGGTGATGGAGGAGGTGATGGAGGAGGTGATGGCGGGGGCTGGTCGGGGGTCCAGACGGGGCCGGGGGGGGGCCGTACACGGACATGCTGGGGTGCTCGATCAGCAGGTTCTCCAGGGGGCTGGACTCCAGCAGGCTGCCGCGGCCCGTGAAGCAGGGCGGGGGGGTGACGAACCAGCTCTCCTCCATGGAGCAGGCGTCCAGGCGCTGGAACCCCCCCTCCTCTTCCTCCTCTTCCTCCTCTTCTTCATCCTCCTCCTCCTCCTCCTCCTCCTCAGCACCAGCCGTGGAGTTGAGGGAGGTGCAGGAGGCGTAGCGGATGGGGCTGGCCCTGAGGGAGGGAATCATCACCAGGTCCTCCTCATCCTCCTCTTCCTCCTCCTCCTGGGGAGCAGCAGAGGACCCAGGGAGGTTCACACACCGGGCTTCAGCTGCAGGGACAAAAACAGCCGAGGTTAACCTTCCTGTTTCCTCTAAATCTTCTTATATTGGAGTAAGGGGTTATTTCCCTTTGCTCAGAATATAAACTCATGTTTTTACAGTAAAAGCAGATCACAACAGAAACACAAGAATTCAGCTGAAATAAAACAATTCGGACACTTCCTGCAGTTATAACACCGTGTCCCCCCTCACCTGATCAACACTGCTCTAACTGCTTTGCCTTTAATGTGTGTGTTGCCAGTGTTTGGAGCTCACCTCCACACTAACTCTCAGGAGTTCACAGAGGATCCTTGTTTACCCACAACACACTGCGGAGCCTCTCTGAAGAACCAGCACCTTATCGTGGTGGAGAGGTTTGTGTGCCCTGATGAACCTGGGGGCTGTGTTGTCTGGACCCTTGTGTTCCTGGTAGGGTCTCTCATGGCAAATTGGTCTCAGGCAAGGGGCCAGACTAAGATTGGCTCAAAGACCTCATGAAAGACGAACTAAGAAGTGAGGATACCCGGCCCGGAGGAAGCCTGAGCTTGCCATGTTGCAACACCTCCGCTTCTCCATCCTGCGGGAAACAGCGATGGGGTCGGGTGCCAGAAGGGTGGCAGTGAAACCAAAGGGTCTCGACGGGCCAGACGGCAGAAGATGGCTCCCCTGGCTTTGGGGGACGTCACCTCTCTGGGGGGGGGAGGGAGCCGGAGCTTGTGCGGGAGGTGGAGCATTACCAGTTAGATCTGGTGGGGCTCACCTCTACGCACAGAGGCTCTGGAACCTTACTTCTTGATAGGGGTTGGACTCTATTCTTCTCCGGAGTTGCCCAAGGTGTGAGGCGCCGGGCGGGTGTGGGGATACTCACAAGCCCCCGGTTGGGTGCCGCTTTGGTGGAGTTTACCCCAGTGGACGAGAGGGTCGCCTCCCTCTCAGAAAACTCTGACTGTTGTGTGTGCTTATGCACCAAACAGCAGTTCAGAGTATTCAGCCTTCTTGGAGACCCTGGAAAGAGTCCTGTATGGGGCTCCTGAAGGGGACGCCTTAGTCTTGCTGGGAGACTTCAACGCACATGTGAGTACTTCTACTTTTACTCAAGTACAAGATCTGAGTACTTCTACTTTTACTCAAGTACAATATCTGAATACTTCTACTTTTACTCAAGTACAAGGTCTGAGTACTTCTACTTTTACTCAAGTACACGGTCTGAGTACTTCTCCCTCCTCTGCAAGTCAGCCATCTCGCCAAATCTGCAACATGCTGACGTTTCATTTCAACCGACACAAATAAAAACAAATGCCTGATCAACTCCATCTCAAAAGTACCAGCGACAACAAACTGAGTGTTTTGTTCCATGTGTCTGTGTCGAGTTACAGCCCAGACGTGCAGGCATGTCTCTCATCTGTTTTGAGGCGGACGTGTTCACGCCTGTGCTCCACTGTTTGTACGCTCACAAAGTTTTGGCCACAAACATTTACATGTCTGCAAGACGGCCGTGCAGACACAGAACAACGGGATCTCTAAAGGCCAGAGGGGGAGGGGTACTCAGATCTTGTACTTCAGAGTAGAAGTACTAGGAATACTCTGTTTCTGTCTTTGAACCTCTTCTTCTCTTGGGAACAGTTTAGCCATCATGAACCCAAAGTGTACTGCTCTCCACAAATATAAAAATGAACATTCAGAAAGTAGTCCTGTTTTCTGGAGGATGAAACGAATGTTTGTTGTCCACAGCTGTCCTTCATTAGACCGGACTTCTTTCTGCGGATTGATACGACTGCACATAGTCCCTTGATTCTACTCAGCAACTGTCATGGTTTGCTTAACAGCAGTGTGTTATCGACTATTAACCACCTCTGAAATGTCCACATTGACCAATCAGAATCAAGTATTCAACCAAGCCGCGTGATTATTTCCGATATTGGGTAATAACATTTAATTTGAGTCGAACCAGACACCGCTGTCAAGCGTCAAAACCTCATGTGTTGATGCGGACAACTGGATGGTCCGATAAAGAAGTATTTGATGTTCTCTAAACAGCAGCTCGGTTGCAGCTTGCTCAAAAAGGAATCTCCAAACCATAAGGTGGCAGCATTTCTAATTAAGTCTGACATTGGAGCTCCTAATTGTTACGTTTCTGTGGAAAATTGGGAAATGTCACCAGCTGCACTAGATGTGATCATGTTTTAAAATAAGAGTGTGTGTAACTTCTCAGATTTGAAAACCAGAGAGAGCTTTTGGTCGACATTAAATTAAAAAACTAACCAAGAAATGCTCAGTCAGACTTCATGGACTTTAGGATGCACCTGGGGTTGGGGTGCGTGCGTGTGTGTGTGTGTGTTTAACTGAGGGGGGGGGTTTAAAGGCTGCTCTGTGCCCATACATGTCCACCTCCACCAGGATTTATTTTTACCTCTTCTGGCTCCCCGGGTGCTTTTGTTTGGCGTGATTACAGGTTGGCTACCATAAACTGCTCGATGCCACCCAGTCGAAAGTGGGTCGACCCCCCCCCCCCCCCAACAAACACACACACACACACACTGAAATATTCACACGGTGGTGGAATCGGAGAAGGGTGGAGACCGGCAGGCCAAAATAATGCTGAGAGACATCTGGAAGTCACTGCAGTGTGTCATGTTTCTGTATACAGTGTGTGTGTGTGTGTGTGTGTGTGTGTGTGTGTGTGTGTGTGTGTGTGTGTGTGTGTGTGTGTGTGTGAGAGTTTGTTTTGACTGGGATCGTGTTATGATCTCAGGAAACTTGGCTGAACTTTGTCCTGACATTTAATACAGTCTAAAGTTAAACAGCATCTCTCCATCAGCCCTGTTGCATGATGGGAACATGCATCTCTCTGCTGATACCGTACTACGTGCAAAACACTAAGAATAAATATGGCTCCTACAACGATTAAAACACATTTATTTTGAACATGCATATCTACACTGTATCTGTGCATATGACAAAGGAAGCCGTTTGAACCCAGTGTCAAAGATAAGAAAAACAGGTGTGCAGGTTGTCGATATTTTTTAAGCTTAATAGTACAAAAACATTTCAAACAGATGGTTGAAATCACAGCACAAAAAAACACACAAAAAGGTCGAGATAAATGAGTCATGGTTGACTATAGTACATCTGTGTTCTAATTCAGTTTTAAAAAATAAATAATAAATCAGCTAGGGAGTTTCAAACTTTCCATGTACGTTAAAAATGGTTGCCATGTCCTATAGCATGTACAAGTGGAGCATCCCAAAGTACACTTTGTGTTGGGAAGGTACTGAATGTCCTCTTCCAACATGAGAGTAACATGATAACAAAGGTATCCCAACTGTAGCTGTGAACATGACAGGATGTGTGATTACCTCGAAGAGCATCAGGACTGTTTGAGGCATATGATAGCTATGTGATTAACATGATGATTCAGCCTCTATGGAGATAGACATATGACAAGCATGCTCATTTCTGACGTGGAGCTAATCTGAAGTAAACATTGAATACTGCTTTCTATTCCTCCATCTTGTGACTGTGTAACTCCCTCTCTTGGATATCAGCATGTGAAGGACACTGTTCAGGAACTAGTTGATGCTCTGTATGTGATGACTACTTCCATTCTGGAGAGGATCACAAATACATGGATCCTGAGATTGAAGCTCAAGCCGGGGACCAGGGAGAGTTTTCTAACACTTTATTTTCTCCATGTGTAGAAACTTCATAAGTCGAGAGTGCAGATTCTTACCCAGGTAGTTGACCAGGATCCACTCCTCCTCTTCCTCCTCCTCCTCCTCCTTGTCGTCTCCGGGTCCTGCTCCTCGGCTCGGCGGATCCTCGTCCCCGAACAGAGCGCTGGCGAACCTCTGGAACATCCTGCTGGGGGGGGGAGGCGCTCACTTTGGTCATCAGCTGCTGGGGGAGGCTCCGGAAAAAGTGCTAAAGTGCATCAATGAAGGTCCTGGATCATCTGCTGGCAGGAGGACTCAGGAGGGACATCGTCCACAGGAGAGGAGACGAGTGCACGGGAGAGGAGACGAGTGCACGGGAGAGGAGACGAGTGCACGGGAGAGGAGACGAGTGCACGGTATAAAAGGGAGTCCTGAGAGGAGGAGAGAGGAGGGGAACATTAGAGCTGCACTTTAAAGAGTCCTCTCCTGCTGATGTTCAGGTGTATATCAGTATGTAGTGTCTCTACTTTAAAGAGTCCTCTCCTGCTGATGTTCAGGCGTATATCAGTATGTAGTATCTCTACTTTAAAGAGTCCTCTCCTGCTGATGTTCAGGTGTATATCAGTATGTAGTGTCTCTACTTTAAAGAGTCCTCTCCTGCTGATGTTCAGGTGTATATCAGTATGTAGTGTCTCTACTTTAAAGAGTCCTCTCCTGCTGATGTTCAGGTGTATATCAGTATGTAGTGTCTCTACTTTAAAGAGTCCTCTCCTGATGATGTTCAGGTGTATATCAGTATGTAGTGTCTCTACTTTAAAGAGTCCTCTCCTGCTGATGTTCAGGTGTATATCAGTATGTAGTGTCTCTACTTTAAAGAGTCCTCTCCTGCTGATGTTCAGGTGTATATCAGTATGTAGTGTCTCTACTTTAAAGAGTCCTCTCCTGCTGATGTTCAGGTGTATATCAGTATGTAGTGTCTCTACTTTAAAGAGTCCTCTCCTGCTGATGTTCAGGTGTATATCAGTATGTAGTGTCTCTACTTTAAAGAGTCCTCTCCTGCTGATGTTCAGGTGTATATCAGTATGTAGTGTCTCTAATTTAAAGAGTCCTCTCCTGCTGATGTTCAGGTGTATATCAGTATGTAGTGTCTCTACTTTAAAGAGTCCTCTCCTGCTGATGTTCAGGTGTATATCAGTATGTAGTGTCTCTACTTTAAAGAGTCCTCTCCTGATGATGTTCAGGTGTATATCAGTATGTAGTGTCTCTACTTTAAAGAGTCCTCTCCTGCTGATGTTCAGGTGTATATCAGTATGTAGTGTCTCTACTTTAAAGAGTCCTCTCCTGCTGATGTTCAGCCTACAAATCATTTTTTAAAGAATGCACAACACATTTCTGTTTGCTACCGATCCACATACCTTAGTTATTCAATATATTTTTGAATGATAATGAGAATTACATTTGGGTTTTTATATCTGCATCCAGCTGTTCATGGCCTTAGTAGTGCGCTTGAACCTCTCGGTCTCCGTAGATAGCCGATGTAAAAAGGGTTCAGAATAAACTCGGCAGCTGCAGTTTCTCTATTTTCTGATGGTGCTTCATTCAGCAGTAACTAAAGAGAGGTGTGCAGCAGCCTCTCTGGGTCCAGGAGGGAGAGAGGAGGCAGAAGGAGTCTGCAGCTGCTGTATAAAAGGAGAAGGAGGCTCCTTTTGGCACAATACATCTGGAGTAAAGCCAACGCCGCGATGTGTCCCTTTGTGCTCTGTGTTCTCCCTCTGAGGCGACCCCTGCAGACATTACTCAGGGCTAAAAACCCTCCATAATGCCTCTGTGTTCTCCCTCTGAGGCGACCCCTGCAGACATTACTCAGGGCTAAAAACCCTCCATAATGCCTCTGTGTGTGACTTTTAAGCATGAATTTAGATGGTAATTTAGAAGACAGAAATTAGCATAACAAACGATGTCATCATAATCTCAGGAGGTGTGTTGATTAGTTTCATCATCCATTTCAATTATTCTCTGGATTCATTGGTTGTCTATAAAATGTCAGAGAATTGTGGAAAATCGATATTGTCTTCAAGTCCAAGAAGATATCTTTAAAAGTTGTGTTTTGTATTTTAACTTAATATGATATAAAACAGAAATACTCTTCTACCAGATTGGCTTTTTAAATAACTGCATTCTATGATGTTATTTCCCCTGAGCCTTTCTAAGTATGTCTCTTTGTTGCCGTTTTATCCTTTTCTATTTTAATAGACCGATAGTCAATACCCTGGAATATTAGGATCACCACTCCAGTAACTCTGTGGTATTAAAACAGTTTTAATTCATGTAAATGGGTTAGGATTTCTATCATGGATTATTCCTTTGACATTTAAGCTAGCTGTTAAAACAAATCACCACTAGGAGGCGTTTTGTTCTCTAAAATGCAAACTACATTTTGATGAAGGCCAAATGTCGAATTTCCTCTACTAAGACCTGAACGCACCCTACGTTCGAAACAAACAAAGGACTCGCGGCTGTGATGTGTTTAAGGAACGCCTTACGGCTCGTATTTCTCTGTTTTCATATTTATTACATGTCGTAGCGAGAGAGAAAAAACTGTTATTCTGCAGAACAAAAGCAGAAACACGGACCGGAAACAGGAAGCAGCGTCACAGCAGTTTGATAATCTGCTGCAGCCTCAGGGATAATAAATACATATCTGGTGATGCATCATCTGAAACAATTTCCCAAATTGGGATCAATAAAGTAGGCTACTATCTTATCTTATCTATCTTCATCATTAAAGGACAGCTGGTGTGTTTTATACCCAGAGGTGGGAGAAGTACTCAGATCTTGTACTTGAGTAAAAGTAGAAGTACCAGAGTGTAGGAATACTCTGTTTCAGTAAAAGTCCTGCATTCAAAATGTTCCTCAAGTAAAAGTATAAAAGCATTCTCATCAAAATATAGTTAAAGTAGCGACAGTAAAAGTAGTCATTGTGCAGATTGGTCCATTTCAGAATAATATATACGATATGTTTTATAATGATTGATCATGAAAGTGTTCTCAAAGCTGGTAAAGGTGCAGCTAGTTTGAATGACTTTGTATACTGCAGGGTAGCTTGTGAATTTACTCAAGGTGGAACTAAAGTCTGATTTAACACTTGATTATATTTCACATCATTCATCCACATCTGTGAAGTAACTAAAGGTATTAAATACATGTAGTGGAGTACAAGTACACCATTTACCTCTGAACTGTAGTAGAGTAGAAATACACAGTAGCATAACAAGTAAAGTACAAGTACCTCTAAAGTGTACTTAAGTACTTTTACAGATTAAAAAAAATAGTGAATAATGGTTATTTAGCCGGAAAAGAGGGGCAGCAAATGAACACATTTGAACAATAACTCTTGTTTATTTTACTATTACATTGATTGTTAGGGTTTAATAAACATCAAGTCAATCACTACTTCAGCTGACGACATGAGAAAAGCAGCAAATCCTCACTGAGAAAAAGCTTAAAACAGAGCTTATTTGACTTTTCTGCACAATAAACGACTGATTCTCAACAATGTTTTCGATTCATTCTCATGTGGAGCGACTAATCGATGAATCGGCTATTAATTCCAGAGGTGATGAGATTCACAAAGCAGTGTTTTGGGTCAAATAAAAGCCGAAGTGGTCCAATACCGAGCCGCAGCAGCAGCTTGTGTTGGTGTCAGATGGGAGGAGGCTGTAACTCTACACCAGCTCTTTGCTAAACCATGATCTGCTTAAATACATCAGGAAACAGTTCCAACAACAGATGCCCACCTGTAGGTCGGCCAGAGAAAGAACACCAAGTCCTGCTGTCGTAAAACCACCAAAAAAGCATCAGAAATGTAAAATAAAAGCCGTATTAATAAGTGTTTTTGTTCTCAAAGTAGGGATTAAATGCTGTCATATGAGTGTAGAAGATGAGTGTGCGGAGGACAGGAGGCAGGAGAGCCGTCAGAGAGCCGAGAGCAACACAAAGGACTCACCTGCGGCCGAGGAAAACTGTAAACGGCGGATTAAAATCCTTAAAATGAGGTAGACGTGACTTTCTGTCGATAAATATACAAACTTGAGGTTTCTTCGCGGAAGAAATACAATATAAAAAGTGTTAATTTAAGGGCTGTGCGTCGGGAGTTTTGTGTCGTGTTTTCGTTGTGCCCCTTCAGTCCGTTTCCTCCCGACTGCTCCTTCTTTTGTTGTTGTTGTGGAGCTCTAACAGCTGATCGCCATGACGTCACGCAGAGGAGACCAATCAGAGGGGACGGGCCTTCCGCGGCTCGGCCAATCACAGGGCGCGTTACGGGCAGTCACCAACACACGTGACTGCTGGTACTCCTCCCGAAAAGGGCATGACTGGGCAAAGCGCTGGCGTTAGGGAGGAGGAGGAACGGGAGGATTTTTCCACCCAAAAAGAGACTCGTTGCATAAGCATCCAGGTCGAGCTGCAGGACTTCCTGTTCTCTGAGGATCCACACTCCCAAGTCCACTTTAAACTGCATCACTATTATAATGTTTGCACAATAGAGTCATCAAATAAATCTTTCCACAGCAGCTGTAATCCTCTCTGTGCAATTCAGCTCTCATGTCTTCATCCGTAACAACACACTGGATACATCGTGAAGCATACTTATATATATCTGATTCAAAACACGGGCACAAGAAGTATTCAGATCATTAACTGCAGTAAAAGTACTTATACCACACTGTGACAATACTCCACCACAAGTAAAAGTCCTACATTGATATTTTTCATACATTTTTGGGTTATTTTTCAGACTTAATGCACACATTTGTTGGGGTGTATTTAGACTTTATTTACACATTTCTTTGGGTGTTATTTTTCAGACTGTATCTAAATATTTTTGGGGTGTTTTTAAGGTTTTATTTACATATTTTTTGGGTTATTTTTCCGACTCAATGCACACATGTTTTGGACTTTATTTACACATTTCTTTGGGTGTTATTTTTCAGACTGAATCTAGTTATTTCTGGGGTATTTTTAAGATTTGAATTACCTATTTATCCGGATGTTTAAAAACATTTGGGATGTTCTCAGACTCTGTGATGAGGCTGGGTCTGACCTGCAGTGGATTATGGAGCCTGAAGCTAAAAGCTGATATTTGGGTCAGTTCAACGGCCCCATCACAAAGAAAAGGTCCCCCCCCCCCAAAACCGCCCTCTGTTTAACCCATAATCTGCTGCAGAGCTTCAGACAAAGAGTCTGCAGGAGACTGAAGTCTAAACTTTAGAGGTTCCTTCGATCTGCAGACTCTTCATCTTCCAAACCGCTCGTTAAGAGATAAGATAAAATAAGATAGTACTTTATTGATCCCAATTTGGGAAACGTTTGTGTTACAGCAGCAAGAAGACAAGGCAATGTACAATACAATAAAAACTCAGAGACTAATAATGAAGAAAGTACAAAATATACATGTTGAATTTAACAAGGTATTATATATACAAATATATATATACATAAATATATGACATATGGAATATTAATATTAAATATTAAATATTGAACAGATTATATATGTGTGAAATGTGGTTTTATTTCTAGACTATGGAGCAGAGAGTTCTCTTCCAGCCAGAGGTGATTTGTTGTACAGAGTTATGGCTGTGGGTCCTTGTGACAGCGGAGCAGCAGCAGTCTGTTGGAGAAGGAGCTCCACTGTCTGTCCAGCTGCAGGTGGAGAGGGGGAGGGGGGGGGGGGGGTATCTGTCTGTCCAGCTGCAGGTGGAGAGGGGGGGGGGGGGGGGGTTATCTGTCTGTCCAGCTGCAGGTGGAGAGGGGGAGGGGGGGGGGGTATCTGTCTGTCCAGCTGCAGGTGGAGAGGATGGGAAGGGGGAGGGGGGGGTTATCTGTCTGTCCAGCTGCAGGTGGAGAGGGGGGGGGGGGGTTATCTGTCTGTCCAGCTGCAGGTGGAGAGGGGGGGGGGGGGGTTATCTGTCTGTCCAGCTGCAGGTGGACAGACAACGGAGCTCCTTCTCCAACAGACTGCTTTTTATTTGATGATTATTCAGATATTTCTTTAAATATTTCCCAGCATTAAACTGCTGTCAATGTTTACGTTTGTGTTCATTTGACCTTCTTTATACACGGCTGCCTATTTTAATCTACAGCAATGCATCCTGTTCTATAAGATTATATGTTACCTAAATTCAGCTTTTCATGAACCCTGTATTTAGCTTTGTTTGTTTGTGTGTGTGTGTGTGTGTGTGTGTGTGTGTGTGTGTGTGTGTGTGTGTGTGTGTGTGTGTGTGTGTGTGTGTGTGTGTGTGTGTGTGTGTGTGTGTGTGTGTGTGTGTGTGTGTGTGTGTGGCTCCTCAAACAGACTAACTGAAACACAACAGAGTGGCGTGTTGGAAAAACAAACGGAGTGCAACAACATGTTACTCTGCATTTTTCCATTCCCACTCAACAAGGTCACACCTGCTCTGATAAGAAGTCCTTCCTGCATTCACAGTGTGTTTCATCACATTCAAAACTCTGACCGGCGCTCCTCCAGCTCTGTGGTGAGACAGATCAGGGCATAGCTGTTCTTTGGGGTCTCCCACCTCACATCAAACAGTGCATTTCTGATCCTGTGGTTCTTTTTTTTATCTCCAATTTCTAGATGTGTTCCAGTTTTCTTCCGTTTGCTTATTTGTGTCGCCTAAAGTAAAAAACCTTAGTCACTTTCCAGCAGTCCTTGTTGATCAGAAAAACAAATAAACCTAACAAATGATCAATGCTTTTTCACAATGGCTCAATAAACACTTTTATAAAAGTAATAAGAATCAAGAGACTTGCAAAAAGCCTGAATATTAAAATGTGTAATTTCTGTGAAAATATATACAAACCAAACCTTCAGTCGCTCCTATACGCTGTTTTATAAAACACATCGTTACCTGGGTGTGTGTGTGTGTGTGTGTGTGTGTGTGTGTGTGTGTGTGAGTGTGTGTGAGTGTGTGTGTGTGTGTCATGGACATAATGTCCCGTTTCCAGCATAATAAGTGTTCAGTGACACATTCATCCGTCACAACAAAGCACCGCACCCTCCTTCTGCTGCTTCTTTAGATAATCTAGCTAATGTTTACTTTGTGTGTGTGTGTGTGTGTGTGTGTGTGTGTTTGTGTGTGCGTGTTGGTGTGAGTGTTTTGCACAATCCTGGCGGGGGTCAACGACCTTGTGTCTTTGCCACTGAACTCATATTGACTAACCTAATAATCTGCCTGTTTTTTCTGTTGCTACGGAGGCCGACCGGTGCCAACGCGCTACATCGGCCCAAAACTCTTCCATCAGGAGAAACTCTCTGCAGCTTCAGAAAGGATTCAGATATAAAAACACAAATGTTCCTCAAGAAGAAACATCTTCAGCAACTTGAGGAGACATGCGCAGCGCTTACTAAAAGCTGCAGAAACCAAACGCTGAAGAAGCTCAAAACACAGCTGGGAGACCAGGGGACACTAAAGAGTGACGCACACAGCTGGGAGACCAGGGGACACTAAAGAGTGACGCACACAGCTGGGAGACCAGGGGACACTAAAGAGTGACGCACACAGCTGGGAGACCAGGGGACACTAAAGAGTGACGCACACAGCTGGGAGACCAGAGGACACTAAAGAGTGACGCACACAGCGGGAGACCAGGGGACACTAAAGAGTGACGCACACAGCTGGGAGACCAGGGGCACTAAAGAGTGACGCACACAGCTGGGAGACCAGGGGACACTAAAGAGTGACGCACACAGCTGGGAGACCAGGGGACACTAAAGAGTGACGCACACAGCTGGGAGACCTGGGGACACTAAAGAGTGACGCACACAGCTGGGAGACCAGGGGACACTAAAGAGTGACGCACAAAGCTGGGAGACCAGGGGACACTAAAGAGTGACGCACACAGCTGGGAGACCAGGGGACACTAAAGAGTGACGCACACAGCTGGGAGACCAGGGGACACTAAAGAGTGACGCACACAGCTGGGAGACCAGGGGACACTAAAGAGTGACGCACACAGCTGGGAGACCAGGGGACACTAAAGAGTGACGCACACAGCTGGGAGACCAGGGGACACTAAAGAGTGACGCAGACAGCTGGGAGACCAGGGGACACTAAAGAGTGACGCACACAGCTGGGAGACCAGGGGACACTAAAGAGTGACGCACACAGCTGGGAGACCAGGGGACACTAAAGAGTGACGCACACAGCTGGGAGACCAGGGGACACTAAAGAGTGACGCACACAGCTGGGAGACCAGGGGACACTAAAGAGTGACGCAGACAGCTGGGAGACCAGGGGACACTAAAGAGTGACGCACACAGCTGGAGACCAGGGGACACTAAAGAGTGACGCACACAGCTGGGAGACCAGGGGACACTAAAGAGTGACGCACACAGCTGAGAGACCAGGGGACACTAAAGAGTGACGCACACAGCTGGGACGGAGCGCTTGGTGACGTTCAGGATGATAAAGCTGAACTGTCTGTTGTTGGAAGCTCACCTGAAATGTTTGGTCTCATTTCAACAATGTGGTCACATGACTCTTTGAACAGGAAATCATTTTTATTTTATATTGTTGTTGTTTTTTCAAATGCTCAGTTTCTATTGAGCTTCAGTTGCTCCTCCAGCTGTCGACTGTTGCCACGGTGATGAGTATGTGTGTGTGTGCGTGTGTGTCAGCCATCGTCAATCAGGATGTAAACATGCAGAGAGGAATGTGGGTCGGGCTGTGTGTCACTCTGTGTGAGAGAGAGAGAGACACACACACACACACACACACACACACACACACACACACACACACACACACACACACACACACACACACACACACACACACACACACACACACACACACACACACACACACACACACACACACACACACACACACACACACACACACACACACACACACACACACACACACACACACACACACACACACACACACACACACACACACACACACACACACACACACACACACACACACACACACCTCTGCAGACTATTGACCTGCACTAAAACCTATTGAACTCACTACAGGAGAGGGGTCCGTAAATAACGTGACACATTTCTTTATTTTGAGCCAAACCATGATCTTTTCTTCTAAACCTGAAACTGGAACAAAGTGTTTTCGGGTGGAGGTCAAAGGTCAAGTTAAAGGTTTTAGTGACCCGAGTCTGAGAGAGTCATTTTAACAGCAACAAGAAAAACTGATGCTGACAAAAAGCTGCTGAGTCATGAGAAACCTGAGTCCTCACACTGAGAGCCGGAAAGAGAAAGTAGATTTTTTTTTTAATTTAATGGCCCTTTCTCAAGCGACTTTACAAATTAAGATTTTCACACAAAAGCATTTTGACTTTTTTTAGGTCGTATTCACAAAAAATTAAATCTTAATATTTACATTGATTTATGTTGAAAACGGCAAAAATAACCTGTTCCTTAATGAATCATTTTGTAACGCTTACAAGAAAATGATATTTAATATTTTACAATGAGCACTAAGAAATCTGAATAAGCAACACATGTGCAGGAGAAGTTTAAACAATGTAATTAAATTAGTATATGATAAAAGAGAGGACTTACCTTTGGTCTAACACGGCTTGATGATGTCATTTCCTGTGTGTCATGTGACCTGACTTCTCTAGAGATATTTGAAATCATAATTTGAATATGAGTATAGCATATCTAGCACAACAAATGCATGTTTTAGCATTTTGGGCATGCATATTATATAGACATGTTACCCCCCAAAAAACGGTGACAGCAAAAACCACTCAGAGACATTTTAGCAGTCAAAAGTAAGTCTTAATATTCACATTTATTCGTGTTGAAAACTGGCAGAAAGACATCGAGAAGATGACATCAGGAATGTGATTCAGCAATAAGACGTTTTGATAAGAAGATTTGTGGCAGAAAGTTGTGCTTCTTTAATATAGTTTTTCTCAGATATAAATGTGCACATTGACCTCAACGTTATTTTACATTCAGATGGAGCTCGGTGCATGACGACGTGTATAAACCCCCCCCCCCCCCCCCCCCCATGTTGATAAGAAAATGTCTGATTAAAAAACTCAGTAACATCAAAGTGTGTCTGTTTCCGTGAGACAGCAGAAAGAGACATTTACAAATGAAGCTGAGAGAGAAATAGAGCTTTGACCTCTGATCGCCTTTCAGTTTAAAAGGCTGTAAACAAAAACAAGTAACAAAACCCACTCCAGGAGGAAAAAGAGAGGTGCAGGAATGAGTCTTTAACCCTGGAAATGAGTCAGCATTTCAGCACTTCCTGTTCCCCGGTCTGGACGTTTTTTGTTGTTATCCTGAAATAAGGTCTGTCGTTAACACAAGATTTTATTCTACGACATAAAATACGTCAGTTAATCCCTCACTGGTGGATTTAAAAACAGCGGTTGCTAACAAGTGTCTAAATGAGACGACTAAACGCCATCACGCCCAACATTAGCCACCTTTAGCTTAGCGGTGGTGACGTGAAGTCATGTGACCGTGCTGTCATAAAGTGGGGTTAATATGTGGAGATATCCTGCTGAACTAAACGTGTAAATATGTGTTTGCCGCAGAGATTATTTTCAGCATAATCCCAAATCACATGGAGAAATCCCATTGGACCCTGAAGGCAACATCTCCCTGGTTCAAGCACAGACTCCCTGCACCTCTCAGATTATTTGTCTCTGTGCAATAAGAGAGTTTTTACTCGTCGTCTCCCGTCCTCCCCGAGCGAGACGGAGACCAGATTTCATCCTGAAAGTCCGAGTCGTCCAATTGGAAACCGGATTTCCCGGCGGCTCCGTTGATGTGCGTCAGCGGGACGTACGAGTAGTCGAGGCCTTCAGGTTCCCATTGGCAGGTGGCGCCGCGGCACGCCCGGAGCAGATGGAGCAGCAGGCTGAGGGAGAGCAGGGCGGCGAGGGAGCAGCTGAGCAGCACCCAGGAGCGCCTGAGGAGGGGCGCAGAGAGGACACCAAATCATTTACTCACAAAGAAACACTACGACGACCATCACCCGACAGAATGGAGATGTAGTCTCTTACGTGAGACATTTACAAATGAGAGAGAAATAGAGCTTTGACCTCTGATCGCCTTTCAGCTTAAAAGGCTGTAAACAAAAACAAGTAACAAAACTCATTTCAGGAGGAAAAAGAGAGGTGCAGGAATGAGTCTTTAACCCTGGAAATGAGTCAGCATTTCAGCACTTCCTGTTGCCCGGTCTGGACGTTTTTTAAGTGTTTTTGGTTGTTATCCTGAAATGAGGACTGTGGTTATGACAAGAGGAAGATATTTATATTCTATGACATTAAACACGTCAGTAAATACCTCACTGGTGAATAAAAAAACAGTGGTTGCTAACAAATGTCTAAATGAGACGACTAAACGTCATCACGCCCAACATTAGCCACCTTTAGCTTAGCGGTGGTGACGTGAAGTCATGTGACCGTGCTGTAGTTCCTTTATAGCCCAACATTAGCCACCTTTAGCTTAGCGGTGGTGACGTGAAGTCATGTGACCTCTCTGCCAGCTCATAGAGTCCTGTTGTGAACCCTGAAATGTTACCCCAAAGTTTTATGATAGAAATGTATAGTAGGTCTCCAGAACATAGAAACTGCCGGATGCTAACCTGCATATGTTGGGATATTTGAACAATTAGCACAAGTTGGAGTAATACGTGGTTTTGGAGGTTATTAAGGTCCATTTCTGACATTTTCAGGATCCAAAATGGCAGTTTTCACCAGAAAGTGGCCATGGGTGTTTCTCAATCGCGAGTAAAGCTGCTTCAGAGCCACTATTTCAAGCATACTACGTCATCGAGTGCCGCCGAAGTACTGTTCCAATCTCCAGCATACTTGGAAATCTACCGAGCCCGGCGTACTCCATTTGGAGAAATTTAGAGGCTGCACATGAGTTGACTCCGCGGTCTTAAAATCCCCACAATGCTTTGCGCACGGACCAATTTCCCCAAATCTGTGGCGGAAGATGTAAGAGGCGGGGCCTCTCATATGACGCACACCTGCACACTTGCTCGCCTGTTCCACTCTTTGTTTTCCGAATGCCAGGAAGTATTCTTGACTCGCTTCTGAAGCAAGACGCTCGGCAGACATGTGCTACCAAGCAAGCGTACTCGACATTGACAAACACCCCATATTTGTACTCCTGGTGGTCATGTGACTTTGCAGGGTCATGTGACTTTGCAGGGTCATGTGACTTTGCCGGTGACTTGACCTTTGTCACTCACTCTGTGAGACGAGGCTGTTCTCTGTGCTCCTCTTCCTCTCGTCTCCATAATGTAAACATCTGATTGGCTAAGCAACGTCCAGCTGTGGAGAGGAGAAGGGAGAGGAGCGTTAGTTTGTCATCAAGAGGGAACTCTTTAAAGCCTTTTAGGTATTTTAAAGATAACACAAATTAACTAATTACAGAACAGGAGGAGTTAAAAGAAAAAACACACTCTCAGATTTAAATTGTTTTTTTACTAGAAATTGATTTTCTCTGAGAAACTTGGGATTTTGCTTTGTTAGAGAAGTTACAACATTGTAATACTTTTGCCACTTTTATTGACGTCTTAAGTCTCTCAAATTCTGCATTTATAATAATGGATATTTACAGACATATTCTATACAGGGGAGGGTCTCTTTGTTTTGCTCTAACTCCGCTGTGTGTCTGTTTCAGATAAACTGAGGAGGATGTTTTTTAAGGAGTTTTGGAGAAGTAACACAGAGCTGCTGTTTGCTCTCCTGCTCTGTGCAAACCTTTATATATACAGTCTATGGTGCAAACATTTGCTAAACCTCAACACACACACACTCTCTTTAGCACAGTGATAAACACTCGATAAGACACACACACATTGAGGCTGAGACTCACACTCATTGTATCTGTGTCTTAGTGCTTAGATCATAGAATATACCAGGGACATCTTTCACACGTGGGCACGATAACTCAAATTGGCACAAACTGCTTTGGGATTAAAGCCTTTTAGCTTCTCTTCAAGATGGCGGCAATTATCAAGACGGCTTGGAAAGGTCATTTATTTTTCCATAAAATCATGTTCGCCTGCCCAACTAAACCTTCCCGGAGTCGAATCTGAGTTCTTACAGCTTGTAAGAGTGCCCTTTTTGTCAAATGTAATATATAATGTGCCCCAGTTCACAAAGGGATAACAACACAAAGGTTTCACGCCAATCGCTACAGAGTTTTCAACACAGAAGTGCTCCCCCTCTATCTCACCTCTCCACCCTGCCCCCACTGGACCGGGACTTTAACACCCCCCCCCCCCCCCCCCTATTATCATCTTTTTAATATATATCCTGCTTACTTGAAGTAAACGGTTATTTTGTGTTTTTTTTGTAAATTATTGAGTGTTCTTGCTTTTTAATGTGTGATTTCTTTATACCTCGGGACTGTGGGAAACAGTATTTGGATCTTTCTGTGTGTACAAACATATTTTGAGATTGACAATAAAGTTGACTTTGAGTTGACTGACTGTTAGCCAATCAGAATGCAGATCTTGCATGACGGAGGCGGGCTTTATGATTAATCAGCAAGATCAATACGCTGACGAGCCCCCGCCACATTATTATCTTTACGTTAGGCCCGCCCACAGGTTTCTGTCTACCACGGGTCTGTTTCTAAATCGTCTTGGTGTCAAATCACACGTTTCTGACCGAGTAGAAACCAAGATCAATTCATCAGAAGCTTCTTTCTACCATGTCTGAATCTGAATGATCTGCCAGCTGGGAACGAGTGCAGTCGTACCGCTGACATCGACTCTCTGCACAGCCCTCCATTTTAAAATACAATACACTGTATACACTTTGCAGTATACTCATTGTCCTAAGTGTTTTGTTTTGTAGCTTTTAAGGTTATTTGTATAGTCACATTTACATTTGGTGTAAATACTTTTTTTTATGCTAAATTGTTTCTTAAAAATACTTATTTTTTATTATCTTTATATATCTAATCTTTTTTTGTTGTATTACCTACTTTGCAACTTATCTTTTTAGATTGTTGTACCACCAGAGTAAACTCCTTGTATGTCAGAACGTACCTGGCAATAAACTTGATTCTGATTCTGATCGTGGTGCTCAGAGCCGACTAATGGCGCGTTTCCACTACAGCCCGCAGCCCGGTTTAAGAGGGCTGTGACGTCAGCGGCCCGTCTTTGGTTGCGTTTCCACTTGGCCTAGTACCGGCCGGCGGGTCCTAATTCACAGTTTTTCTGGCCTCATAAAATCGTGGGTCTAGAGCCAGAGACAACGAGGCTGAGTCGGGCTGAGTATGCTAAACTAGAGAGAGAATCGCTGGCAAGGGGGCTACAACTACAACAAGATGGACATATTTGACCGTGATTTAATTGTAATACACGTTTCAAAATGATGCCGAAGTAACAACATACTGATACCGGTTAGTAAAAACCATGAATTAATGCTTTGTCAAGTCTGCAGACAGACGGCAGGCGAAGAACCTTTTAAAATGCTTGTTTTCTAAATGGAGATTGGCTAAGCTAACGCAGTATATGCTCCGACCGTCCACACTCACAACAACGGCCTATACAGACATAAATAAAGCAGCGACTGTATTCTCCATGACACAGACAGTCTGTGGTTTGTACTTGTTTAACTTTTGTCTAGTTTCTGAACATATATGAGGAGCTGTGAGCTCTGAGTGCTAACAGCTAACGGCTGTGTTGTTTTTCTGGGGTCCTCTGAAGATCACGTCACGGCTCCGCATACACTGCGTTACTATAGATACTGCCCCAGTTTCTAAACTGTAATGGAAATGCGCCATAAAGTGAGCCAGTCCTAACGAGGCCCAGCCATACCGAGCGGGGCCGAGCGAGGCCGTGTAGTGGAAACGCGCCATAACACAGAAGACTAGTATTAGTGTGGTTCAGAGTCCCAAATGCTTTCTAACAACTTTTTGTGTTTAAAATGACACAAAAAAGCTCTGAAGAAGTTTCTACACGGTACATATGACTTCCCCCGTTGTCAAAAACATGCACATTCATTACCAAAATCACAGAAATGTATCCAGTGGTTTAAACTCTGAGGGCAAATGAAATGATGGACATATATATATAAAAGGTCACAATTTTGAAAATTCCAACAGGCTTTTTTAAGAAATAAATCCCCCAGAGGGAAGATCATGGACATTTCGGTGCTTGTTTCACCTTTTGAAAGGTGTTACAGCTGTATGCGGCACTACCGGACTCTCCATGCTGTGAGGGTAGAAGTGTGTGTACCTGTGTGTAAGGTGTAGTTGGTCTCTGCTCTCAGTGTGGCGTTGCAGCTTCCTGTCTGCGGGTCACATGGACACTGATGGTCACACACACACTCCTGAAGACAGGCCGGGCCGAAGAACCCCAGCGCACACACTGAAACACACACACACACACACACACACACACACGTTAAGCATGAGAACAATGACGTGGAACTGAATACAAAAACTTCACTATTCAAGAAGATCAATTATTATATTTCTGAGTCTGAGGAGAGAAAGTATTTTCACCGTTTTCACAGGTTTGTCCGTGGAAGCCGGCGGGGCATGAGCAGCGTCCGTGGACGGGATCACAGGAGCCGCCGTTAACACAGGCGCAGGTTTGATTGCAGCGGTCACCGTAGAAACCGGGGAGGCACTCTTTAAACAAAGAAGAGAAAAAAAGGACTCAATACAGCGATGCAGGGGATGTCGTATTTCTGTGTTGGACCCTGAAGGCAGCATCTCCCTGGTTCAATGGGATTTCTCCATGTGATTTTGGATTATTACAGAAAATAATGTACACAATCTACAAAATACTCTCACAGGATAATCTCCACGATTAAAAGCTAATGTTGGGCTATAAAGGAACTACAGCACGGTCACATGACTTCACATCACCACCGCTAAGCTAAAGGTGGCTAATGTTGGGCTATAAAGGAACTACAGCACGGTCACATGACTTCACATCACCACCGCTAAGCTAAAGGTGGCTAATGTTGGGCTATAAAGGAACTACAGCACGGTCACATGACTTCACGTCACCACCGCTAAGCTAAAGGTGGCTAATGTTGGGCTATAAAGGAACTACAGCACGGTCACATGACTTCACGTCACCACCGCTAAGCTAAAGGTGGCTAATGTTGGGCTATAAAGGAACTACAGCACGGTCACATGACTTCACGTCACCACCGCTAAGCTAAAGGTGGCTAATGTTGGGCTATAAAGGAACTACAGCACGGTCACATGACTTCACCACCGCTAAGCTAAAGGAGGCTAATGTTGGGCGTGATGACGTTTAGTCGTCTCATTTAGACACGTTAGCAAGCCCCGTTTTTAAATCCACCAGTGGGGTATTTACTGACATATATGTCGTAGAATAAAAATCTCTTCAGCGTGTGTGTGTGTGTGTGTGTGTGTGTGTCTCACTACCTTGGCTGCAGTTCTCTCCTCTCCATCCGGCATCACAGACACAATCATCTGAAAATAAGATCATATTTGGATTCATTATTACAGTATTTATTCTACTGTACAGTTTTTTATTTTACATTATATTTCTTACTCAGCGTTACAGCAGCAGATGACAGGCATGAATAAAATAAGTAAGCTAACATATTATTTAAAGAGGCAAGCACGTTTAACACATCTACTGCGTACACAAGCATGCACATTATCCCTTTCTTATTCTGTCGAATGGTTGGAGGAGCCTTTTAATAACAAATGTATTTTGGATGGTGGATGTAAAAAGATAGTCTTTTATATTTGTCTTGTAAAATATGACATAAAACTTATTGTAGTAATAATTATATAATCTATTTATAATTGTAAATGTATATTGTATGTGATTTGATACGGTCTAAGTTTGTACAGTCTCATAATTCTCTTGTTTCATTTCATTATTATTTTTTGTATTATTGTTTCACACGTTCGAAATAACTCAAATCAAGCCTGAGACTTCAGATGTGATACTGCAGCTGTTTGATCATAAAGCCTGTGGATCTTTGACAATGAGTGTAGTGTAGAGTGTGTGTGTGTGTGTGTGTGTGTGTGTGTGTGTGTGTGTGTGTGTGTGTCTTACTGGCGGTGCAGACCCCGTGTCCGCAGTCTGCAGGCTGGCAGCGCCGCCGGTGAACACACAGCACGGTGGAGACGTGACGAGCACAGCGCCACCTGCTGTCAGGCTTACTGAGGGGGGGGGAAGTGATTCTCTGAGATAAAAGTGTGCTCATACATTTATAGACAACATATTCTGCTAATGTTCGGCTTCATATATGTACAGTGTGTCTCTACTGGGACATGTCTCCACGCTTTAATGTTCAAAAAGCTCTTTATTTTCTCTCTCGAGCCTCTGCAGACCACTTACTGCACAAAGACCTATTAAAGTCACCAAAAAGCGCAATAGGGCCTCTTTAATATCTCTTCAAACCTGTGCTACATGTAGAGAGACGTTAGAGGATAAGAAGACTGTGTTCCTGATGTATTTGTTAGTGTATTCAAAGTCCTTCTAATGCAGGAAGGTGAATTGTCTCACCAGTGATCGGAGGGGTAGCTTGCTAACGAGCCGTTGATCACGAAGGTGGAGGAGCCGCCTCCGTCCAGATTGATGGCGTTAACGACTCCGTAACTCTTCAGAGACTCAGCCATCTCCCACAGATTCATTCTTTCATAGCACAACCGAAAACAAATATGACAAATATGAGATGAATGGGGATTAGAGTTGTTATTAGGGCAGACCCGGAGGTTCACGTCGAAGGGGATGCCTCGACAAAAAGCAATGTGATTTGTTTTCCTCACCCCCTGACTCCCGTCTGCCCGTCGATGTGGAACAGGACCAGCCTCCCCTCGGCGTCGTGGCCCACCGCCGTCCGGCCCGACACCACGTCCACAAAAGTGCGAAACTTCCCTGTGAAAGCATCACGAGTCACCGGGCTGAATCTCTTCTTCAAACTTCACAACACAAACGGACTGGAGAGAAACTGCAGAGGATAACATTTCTATATATTTCACTCAAATGACTTATAGGACGATTTATGGAGATGTCCTTCATGATATTTACATCATTGACATATGTTAAGACTTGAGTAACAGTAGAAGTACTCAGATCTTGTACTTGAGTAAAAGTAGAAGTACTCAGATCTTGTACTTGAGTAAAAGTAGAAGTACTCAGATCGTGTACTTGAGTAAAAGTAGAAGTACCAGAGTGTAGGAATACTCTGTTACAGTAAAAGTCCTGCATTCAAAATGTTCCTCAAGTGAAAGTAGGAAAGTATTATCATCAAAATATAGTGAAAGTAGCGACAGTAAAAGTAATCATTGTGCAGATTGGTCCATTTCAGAATAATATATATGATATGTTTTATAATGATTGATCATGAAAGTGTTCTCAAAGCTGGTAAAGGTGCAGCTAGTTTGAATGACTTTGTATACTGCAGGGTAGCTTGTGGATTTACTCCAGGTGGAACTAAAGTCTGATTTAACACTTGATTATATTTCACATCATTCATCCACATCTGTGAAGTAACTAAAGGTATTAAATACATGTAGTGGAGGAAAAGTACACCATGTACCTCTGAACTGCAGTGGAGTAGAAGTACACAGTAGCAACACATTAAAACACACGTACCGGTCTCCTGCGTCTCGTCGCACTCGGCCTTCAGACTCTGGTTGATGTAAACCTCTCCGTTCCTCAGCAGCCACACCACGCCGCTGACCAGCTGCTCAAACGGGTTGGACCGGTCCAGAACGTCCTCCTGAGACAGATACCTGGAGGGAGACATCAGGACGTCACCTCTCCAGACCGTTTACCACCACTTTATGTTTCTACTACTATTAACAATGCAACTTTACAGCCAGAGGAATCAAAGGAGGGTTTGAAAAACTGTGGTATCCCTTACTGAAGCTTCTTGAAAGCCAAAGTAAATAGCCGCTTGGAAAGGATTGCTGAGTGCCTTTAAGTTCGTCTTTAAATGCATTTGATTATTTTAATTGATTGATAAAATGATAGTTATTATTTTATTTGTTCTAGTCTTGTCACCTGGTGTGTCTTTGTTTTTTGCTACTTGGTTGGTTACGTATTAGTAAGTGTTGTATATAATGCATGGATCGCATTTGTACATGTCTTATTCACTCATTGGTAATATCTGTATTTGTGGATGTCATTGTTTGTACTTAAAAAACAATGCAACTTTAAAATAATCAATGGTTCCCAAAAAACCTGTTTTACTTCAATCAGTTCAATGTGTCTCTTATTCTGAAATACCTGAAACCCAGTTGTGTTGGTTTAGTTATGAAACTCTGTCCTCTGTGACCTCTACACTTATTTTTCTTCTGATAATGTGACCTCCACTCGGGGCATCGCCTCGCCTCACGCTGCCTTCAATTACCACAGCTCCGACTCTTCTCATGTGCATTTTCAACATGTTGTATTCCTTAAAGAGGCCCCATTCAAGAGTCAAGGCTTTTATTGTCATGTGTGCAAAGCTACAGTGCAGACAAGGAAATGCTGAGGTCACAGGCTCCTCCAACAGAGCAACACAATAACACACAATAGAGAGGTGCAGTGACGAGTCCTAAAACCAGGAAGTGAGTCAACATTTCACCACTTCCTGTTCCCTGGTCTCAGAGCCAATGGGATCTCTCCATAGGGTTTTGGAAAATATCTGGAACTAAGGTCTGTGGTTGAGACACATTGAAGAGACGGATCACGTTTTGTTCTACGACATTAAATCCATCAGCAGTGACCCCACTGGTGATTTCTGAAGAGTTGACGTGTCTGAGAAACGATGGTTGTTACCAAGTGGCTGAATAGGACTACAGAAGTCGTGGAGGCCGTTGTACGTCATTACGCCGAACACGTAAACACTCCTCTAAGTTAGTTTGCCCTGTTCTGCTTGAAAGCAAGTTCCTGCCTCCTGCAAACTGTTCAAACAAACGCTTCAACTCGTACCATTTAGAATCTGTATGTTTGAATATGGATCTGAAGTTGGCGTGACGTTGAAGTCGTGCTGCTGGACTCGCCTGTAGTTCCTTTATAGCATAACGTTAGCATTTTGCTTCTGGTGATCAGATTTATGATTAGAACATTATAAAAGTAGGGTAGACATGTGGAGATGATCCGGCTGAACAAAACGTGCATTTATCAAACAGGTTCGTTTTCCACAGATCTTATTTCGAGCTATTTTCCTAAATCCTATGGAGAGATCCCATTGGCTCTGAGACGAGGGAACAGGAAGCTTACTTCCGGGTAAATACGTCATCCCTGCACTGCTCTGAAGTGCAAGTAAATAAAATAGAATAGAATAGAAATAGTGCAGAATAGTCCATATACAAGTAATTGGAATATTGATATGTATAAGTTGCATTCTGCTTTCTAGGGGTGTTCCCTCTCCTAGTGTAGTAGTGTGTTATATAGGTATTGAGTGCATGTAAATGGTCTGCAGAGGCAAAAATCCCTGTGTTTCTCCACCATTGGCTTGATTTGAAGATATTGTTTCTACGAAAAGGACACAGCTGGTGTTGATGTAGGCCCCGTCCACACGGAGACGAAACGGGTGTTATCCGCTATAGTTCTTTATCGTATGGACGGTTCGTTCACACGAGGCCGTAACGGAGCCCTCAAACGATAACGCATCCCAAAGTGGGAAGGTCTGGTAACGTAACGCTTGCGGCACCGTGTGTACGCCCTAAACGATCATAGCCCCGCCTCTTCTGCTCACCCCCACGTCATTGCTGATGCGTTTCGCGAACAACAACAACAACAATGGCGGATCACAGGGTTGCGTTCGTGCTCCAGACGCTACTGACCATGCTACAGATGTTAGTGCAACATCTACAGCTCCTCTACCACAACCATCAGCAACAAGTGGACATGGAGAACTACATGAACTACATGTTGCTAAATCCACCGCGGAGAATAAACAGAAGGGCAACCATGGCAACCATGCTCAGGGGGTCTTCTTCGCTGCTTTTGGTGTATTTTGTAGCGGAAGTACAGCGCCACTTACAGGCCCGGCATATGTACTACAGCGTCTCCAGCGGGTCGAGCGGTCTCGTGCGGACGGACACGTTTCTTGAGCCGATTCCGGGTGGACGGAAGACTTCTTGATATCGACTAAGGTTCGTTTTCGTCTCCGTGTGGACGGGGCCTTAAACTCCAAGCTGTGTGTTCAGATAGCATCGACAGAAATCTGATGTATATTTATTTATTTCCACGAAGGAAAACAAAGGATCTCTTTTAGCGCGAGGTGTAAATAAAGCTCTGCCTCTCACATTGTGGATGAAGCAATATGAAATGAGAGGTTTGACCCCGGGTGTTTTCACTGTGTCTGAGGAATATAACGGTGTTTTCAGCCTCGTGGTGTTGCATCACGTAGGAGCTGCAGAGATCACTGACCTCAGGCCCCAAACAAACAGGTTCAATTGACTCTTTAAAGACAAAGTGTGTTTGTGTGTTGACCTGACGGGGACATTATAAATATCCAGCTCTATTTTCGGAGAGGATTCATGGAATTACTTTTGAATTATTTCTCAGAAATGTTGGGTCAGTTTTAAAAGAAGTTGATTTTCTTCTGAAAGCAGGTAAAGGGAAACTGTTACTAGAACGCCAACAATAATACAGGTACTTTTTTAGTCTGTTGGCTCTGAACCTTGTTATTGATGAATCAAACTGGCTTCACTGGCTCTGCTGACATCCTCCATGTAAGACGACATCCCATAATACACTCCTTTATTCAGCTGCTGTGTAGCCAAAACGTTGTCTATCAAAACTGACAAGAATAGTATTTTCTGGGGAAATATCTGTATATGTGTTTTACTCGTATCTGTAGTTATGCGAGTTCAGCTTCACATGCGTATCCTATTGTTGTTGTTGTTGTTCTTATCTTCAGTTATTTACATACTTACTCTCCTTTGTATTCTTAGGCCCCGGCTCCACGAGGACAAATACGGCAAAACGCATCGGAGTAACGCAAATGCAACCGCAAAAAACCTTCCGCCCACACGCAATATACACCGGATTGTGTCAAGCTACACGAGACAGCTCCGTTTACATCCAAACGCTGGAAAAGCTGCAGTACATATGCCGAACCTGTACGTGGCGCTGTAACTTCCTCCACAAAAGCAGCAACTTCCTCCACAAAAGCAGCGAAGAAGAATGGTTGTCATGGCTGCACTTCTGTGTATTCTCCGCGGTGGGGGCGGAGGGAACCGGGCAGAGTTTTTCGCCGGTCAACGTGTGTTAAAGTTTAAATCTTCCGGACAAAATTATAAAAGTGCCGGTCAAAGGTCTTCATTGTTATTTATTGAGCTTTAAAACAAATGAATAACGACGATATAATGATATATAATCAGAAAATACACGGAGCCTGTCTCTTTTTCCTCTCTCTCTTCTGACAGCGTCAGTGTCTGTCTCATGCAGCAGCTGATCCAGTAATGATGACCCGACAGTAAAAATAAACATATTTATAACTAGTTTAGGTAGTTTGAGAGGTAATTAAAATAGCTAAGGGTGATGATCTGACTTGAAGTGTGTGTTTTGCTCCCGCTGCATCACAGCGGCAGGAGCTGCGTGTCTCCGTCCTGTCAGATTAGACTTCACTCGCGTTTATGTCCATATCGAGATAAAGATAAATAATCTGAATTCAAGGAGGAGCTCCTGTAGATGTTGCACAAAGAACTGTAGCATGGTCAGTAGCGACTGGAGCACGATAGCAACCCTGCGGGGGAGAGGCGGGGAGAGGCGGGGCTATGAAAAAGGATGACCGTATAGGCGACTCCACGGCCCCGTTGGACCCCCCAGAGCGCTCCGTTCCCAGATCTATCCACCTTTGGACCCGTTGTCGTTTGCGGGGTCTGTTTCTACGTTTCCCTTACGGCGTCGTCGAGCTTAGAGGGCTATACGCATGAGAAATATGCGGATTCAACCCGTTTTCGTCCTCGTGGAGCCGGGGCCTTACTATCCCTCTGTGATCTCTCGCCTGTGCTGTCCTGTGTTTTTCTCTTAGGCCCCGGCTCCACGGGAACCCATACGGCAAAACGCATCGGAGTAACGCAAACGCAAACGCCAAACAGCTTCCGCCCACACGCAATATACACCGGATTGTGTCAAGCTCCACGAGACAGCTCCGTTTACATCCAACCGCTGGAAAAGCTGCAGTACATATGCCGAACCTGTACGTGGCGCTGTAACTTCCTCCACAAAAGCAGCGACTTCCTCCACAAAAGCAGCGAAGAAGAATGGTTGTCATGGCTGCACTTCTGTTTATTCTCCGCGGTGGGGGCCGAGGGATCCGGGCAGAGTTTTTCGCCGGTCAATGTGTGTTAAAGTTTAAATCTTCATGCTTCCTCATGCAGCAGCTGATCCAGTAAGTAAACCCGACAGTAAAAATAAACATATTTATAACTAGTTTAGGTAGTTTGAGAGGTAATTAAAATAGCTAAGGGTGATGATCTGACTTGAAGTGTGTGTTTTGCTCCCGCTGCATCACAGCGGGAGGAGCTGCGTGTCTCCGTCCTGTCAGATTAGACTTCACTCGCGTTTATGTCCATATCGAGATAAAGATAAATAATCTGAATTCAGTGTGCAGTGTACTTTTGCGGGGGTGAGCAGCAGAGGTGGGGAGAGGCGGGGCTATTGCGTCGTCACACGGCCCCGTTGGACCCCCCAGAGTGCTCCGTTCCCAGATCTATCCACCTTTGGACCCGTTGTCGTTTGCAGGGTCCGTTTCTACCGTTCCGTTATGGCGTCGTCTAGCTTAAAGGGCTATACGCAAGAGAAATATGCGGATACAACCCGTTTTCGTTCCCGTGGGGCCTGGGCCTTAGTCTGTACCTGCTTCAACACCTGAACTGTCCTACGGGGGTCAATAAAGATCTATCTTATCTTAAATATGCATCAGGAGTCATGACTGGTGTGAGAGTCTGACGGTGGATCACTACTCCAGGTTGCAGCTGTGGCTACAAAACAGTAATCGCTGGCGGAGCAGAGCGGCGTGGGTAAATGCTGAATAAAAGAGGCATTAGCCACGGCACATCATATTCAGGTAGGATAGTGTAAGTGCAGTCGGATTCCCAAAGCACCGCCGAATCATCTTTCCTTAACTCTGTGACGTTTCACGCAGAGGTTAGGAATAGTGGTTAGGGAAAGAGGATAGGAGCTGATTTTTGGAATATTCAACTGTAATACGACTCTCAAAGGAACGAACGAGGCCTCCGACGCTGTATAAAAGATCTGATAAAAACTGATCCAGATTTGAACAGCGTCCTGACGTCAGGACAGTGTTCAAATCTGGATCAGTTTTTATCAGATCCGTTGCAGCCCCTTTTTTAGAGATTTGGGTATGGAGGAAAATAGAGAGGGTTGTGTTTTCTGACACTTGGTGAGTTCCCTGGAACACCGGGGACACATATTCATGTATAAAAGACGTACAAAAGTGCATTTTGCATGATAGGTCCCCTTTAAGGTGAATACTTGTCTTACCCGAACACCAGGGTGCCGTCCCTCCGGATGCCAAACTGAGCGTTCTGCACCCCCCCGCTGTCCCTCACCATGCGGCCGTCGCTCACCACGTTGCCCAGGCAGGCTCCAGACTCTGTGTTGAAGAAGCCGGCGTTCTGGGCGTACAGACACCCAGCAGCCCTCGCCGTCTCCTCCACAGAGACCCTCCGCTGCCCCTCACAGCCCCCCTGCTGCCCCGGCTCCAACACCGACAGCTGCCTCAGGGGGTCGGGGACCACAGTCATGTGACCTGGAGACACAGGGGCAAAGGAACTAAGTACAAGTACAAAATTGTACTTAAGTTGTAATTTTGAGGTGATGTACTTCACTTGAGTATTTCCATTTTATGATACTTAGTACTTTTACTTCACTACATGTATTTAATACATTTAGTTACTTTAGCTAGCTGCACCTTTACCAGCTTTGAGAACACTTTCATGATCAATCATTATAAAACATATCATATATATTATTCTGAAATGGACCAATCTGCACAATGACTACTTTTACTGTCACTACTTTAACTATATTTTGATGAGAATACTTTTATACTTTCACTTGAGGAACATTTTGAATGCAGGACTTTGACTGTAACAGAGTATTCCTACACTCTGGTACTTCTACTTTTACTCAAGTACAAGATCTGAGTACTTCTACTTTTACTCAAGTACAAGATCTGAGTACTTCTACTTTTAACAAGTACAATATCTGAGTACTTCTACTTTTACTAAAGTACAAGATCTGAGTACTTCTACTTGTATTAAAGATCTGAGTACTTCTACTTGTATTAAAGATCTGAGTACTTCTACTTGTATTAAAGATCTGAGTACTTCTACTTGTATTAAAGATCTGAGTACTTCTACTTGTATTAAAGATCTGAGTACTTCTACTTGTATTAAAGATCTGAGTACTTCTACTTGTATTAAAGATCTGAGTACTTCTACTTGTATTAAAGGTCTGAGTACTTCTACTTGTATTAAAGGTCTGAGTACTTCTACTTGTATTAAAGATCCGAGTACTCCCCCCTCTGCTCCTCTCTCAGTTATCTCTTGGAGAAGCGGTTCACTCTGAATGTTCCTGTGTTCCTGCTTCACTGACCGTAGACCCATCTGGAGCTTCCCGGCACTTTGGACACGAACACGGTGGCCTCGGGGTCCCCCCCGTGGTGTGGGGGGGTCTGGGTCTCGTGGGCGGTGTTTCCCCCGGTGACGGAGAGACAGTCCCTGACGTGGCGGTGCGAGTGGGAGGGGCCGTGCCCCCGGGCGTACGGCCGCAGGGGGTCATCGTCCGGAGAAACGCTGTGGAGGGAAACGTAAACCAAAAGTTAGACGCAGAGAAGCATAATGGGGTTTCCAGCTGGGAACCTAAAGATGTTGAGTGGCCAAAGTTTTATATTAGAAATGTATAGCAGGGTCTCCAGCTCATAGAAACCGCCGGATGCTAACCTGCAGATGTTGGGACATTTCCACAATTAGCATCAGTTGAGTTAATTAGCATCAATGCAGACAATAGTTTAAAAAATGGCTTGGCTGATCTACACAGTTTTTAAGTGGTTTTGGGGATTATTGAGGATTCTGAATCCATTTCTTACCTTTTTATGAAAGAAAATTGCAGTTTTAACCAGAAAGTGGCCATATTATTACTCTCTGTGGGCTGATTTGATTAATTTTGGGTCGATTAGAAAGTTATATTTTTGTTTTATTTTTGTGTTCTTCTACTTTTACTCAAGAACAACATCTGAGTACTTCTACTTTTACTCAAGCACAACATCTGAGTACTTCTACTTTTACTCAAGTACATAATCTGAGTACTTCTTCCACCTTTGATTAAAGGGTAAGAACACACCAGGAGGGTTAACTCTATTAAAGTAAGATGTGATGTGTTAGAGAAGGTGTGTAAGTATTACTCAACAGCTCCATCTTGTGAGCACATGTTGAACCTGCAGCAACATGAACACAAGCTGTCAGTTTCCTTTCAGATTGAAAACAAAACGTGATGACAGCACTCATGTGACCAACAGTCTGGGGTGAACATCTGATAAAGGCTTTTTGAGATTATTAAAACAAAGCTAAAGTCAAACACTGAATGCCGTCACTGAACCCGATATAACAACTCTTTTGATTGGGTTATTCAAATGTGTACATAGTATATCTTTATGTTAAGTGAGAGAGGGGACTAAAGGCCTTTTAAGGTTGTGTCAGCTAACATTTGTGAACTTTGTACTTAAACAGTTAGCTCAATACTGGGTGCTGTTGCCCAACAGCTGTTGAGTTGTGTTAGCTTTAATTTGCATACTTGGTACTTTAGCAGAATTATAAATATCTGGATTTACTCCCAAAAAATAATCATTTTAATGAGCTTACCCCACTCTCACTTACAACGAGTTAAAACTAGTTTTGACCATGTGTGTTAAAAGAAAACTGGATACACCGTTCATTCGAGAGCTGCTCAGTGGCGCATGAAGCCCAGAGTGGAGCGAACGTTGACTCAGAAAGTACCCGGATGTGGGCCCACTGAGCATGCGCAGTTGAGTTTCGAGTCAGTCAGATGAATGGAGAGAGAAAATAAGCTTTTTAACGCATTTAACAACTTTTAGACCCTAATGAATTAAATAAGGTATACACAAGTGTTCGTGCTTGGTGATTAATTTAGCTAAAATACAAATATACGCTGATTTACAGACGTCTCTTTCCCAATGTAAGTCAATGAGAAAGGTCTGTCTGGGCCAGAATGACGTCACTGCGCTGTAGTACCACCATTTGGCCACTACGGACATTCCTAACATGGGCTTCAACGGCCGGCGCACTTCCGCTTGTTTTTGACTCAAGACTTCTCTCTTTAGGCTAAGAACATTAGCGACTAAATCGGGACTTACCGGGAGTTTTCGGTCTCCGACAGCCGGACGCAGAGCCATAGCAGCGGCCACAATAACAGATATTTCACCGATACCGCTGCCATATGAGGGGGGAAGACCAGCTGCGAAAAGTCCCCTCTCTAGTTCCTACATCCCTCCACTAGCACTCAGGGAGACATAGCTTCCGGTTGCTTTACCATATAAAAGCACGACCGTGTAAAACGATATTATTATTATTATTATTATTATTATTATTATTATTATTATTATTATTATTATTATTAATCATAAAATGTTAAGGTACCACGTCCCTGTTGTATTTTTAAAGTCATAGTATGCATGTGAAAAATATTAATGTTTTACTAAATACTCGAAATAGGATGAGTCAAACTTAATTTAAAGTTGTATGTAATTTGACTAATTTGTCTCTTTTTACACAGTATTGCATAATTTTAACTTTAAACCTTGAATCATTGACATTAATTGACTCCTAACATTCTGTTTACCTTTTATTTTGAACACATTTCAACAGTTTCCGGTATGTTTGACGTTCTGTAGTAACTTGACGTAATGCGGTCACATGACTGACTTTTGTCTCCACGTGGCCCAAAGCCAACTGTCACCTGTCCTTCACCTGCCTCACTTACTACTGTTTCATACACAGTATATGTAGAATAATAATAATAACATTAACACACAAAAAAATACTTTAAAACAAGTAAAAGTCAAGCAATTATTTTTTGCAGTTTTTGCTGTTGTGTCTCCTTCAGCCCCTTTTCTCAAAATCATCATCAGATTCATAAATTAAACCAGTAGCCGATTTGTTCTTCTTCTCAAACATCCCTCCAGTGTTTTGCAGTCTCTGGATTGCAGTGTTGTTGCTCAGCATGTCATCCGCTGCATGAACACATTCAGTGTCTGTTTGCTGCAGATGTGGGAAGTAGTGGAGTATAAATACTTCAAGGTTCAAGGCGTTTATTTGTCATACGTGCATAGCTACGGTGTAGTTATGATGATGAAAATCTTAGGTCACAGGCTCCTCCAACAGAGCAACACAATAACACAGATAAACAGTGCAAGTAAACAGTAAATACAAAAGGAAAAAATAGTAAAAAAAAGTGAAATAGTGCAAGTGAATGGAATGATATATAGCAGAGACACATGGTCATCAGCGAGCTGTGATAAACCACAACAATGGACCTGCCAGCAGAAGGCTTTATCTCTCTCTGTTTGAACACTACAGTCATACTAAGAAGGTTACTGCTAACTCTTTGAATTAAGAAAATGAAATACGTTTACAGGCCTATAAATGAAATACGTTTACAGGCCTATAAATGAAATACGTTTACAGGCCTATAAATGAAATACATTTACAGGCCTATAAATGTAAAACTATGGATTATCATACTTAAATACAAAAATAAAAATAAATACAAATTCCAAACATTTAAAGAGATGTTACCTTGTGAAACGAAAAAAGGAAAAACTTAAAACTTTGCATAAACTCGATACACACAATAATACACGAAAGTTAACTCATATATAATGTGGATTATTTAAAAATCAATATAGCTTTAGTTTGACTTTTGAATTTCTATAGGGCTTGCAAAATAAATGCAATTTTTTATTTCCTTAAAGGTGGGGTATATAATTCACTTCAGATACACTTTTTGTTATATTCCATGGAATGCTCTTAACATCCCGATAGCAATGAATATATTAAATGCTTTGACAATAAATACATTAAACAATGTCACCTAGCCGTAGTACTGTAAAAAGCACAACCAATCATTTTAGCCGGCTAAAGTAACTGGATGGCCTACCTGCCTGTCAGCCTTCCATCTGTGCACAAACTTATCTCGTGCCCTCATTGGTCATGTGCGCGTTGGTGTGTGTTGGAGGAGGGGCTCTGTAAGGAAGTCTGAAGGAAGGGGCAGATTCTTTTCGGTTGTGTACTTTCAAATTCTAGCGCACTCGAGCTGGTTTCCCCATTCTTACCTACCCTACCTTTAAATATATTTATGTTGTTTTTATCAGTCTGGATGGTTAAACTTGTTTGTATTAGAGATGCAATGCATAAACTCTGCAGATTAGTGCAAGGACTCGGCTGATTTATTGCTTCTAACGGCCAACAGAGGGCGCTGCATCACTTGTTCTCAATACAATGTTCCAGAGTCTGTTTCATCAGGTATTCTGACTTTGTTTATTTGCCCAGATGACGGATCATTTAATCTATCTGTATTTTTATCTGTAAGCAATGTCATGTTTTACTCTGTAAACTCTGTGCTGCCACACATTGTTGTTTTGTCTTTGTCTTGAAAAAGTCAGTGCTTTAATCAAGTCTGGAGAAACAATCTTATTCATGGTGCAACCATGTTGATGACAATAATATAGAAGGGGATCAGGCCTCAATATTCAGTCATTAGACCTTTCTCATTTCTAATTTCCCCTCCTCGACTCCTATCCTCGACTCCTATCCTCGACTCCTATCCTCGTGTCTTAGTCCCGCCCACAGAAGATGCGAGCGGAGGACTCGAGGAGGGGAACCGAGGAGAGAGGAGTCGAGGAGTCGAGGAGGGGAGCCGAGAAGAGTGGAGCCGAGGAGGGGAACCGAGGAGAGAGGAGTCGAGGAGGGGAACCGAGGAGAGAGGAGGGGAACCGAGGAGAGAGGAGCTGAGGAGGGGAACCGAGGAGAGAGGAGGGGAACCGAGAAGAGAGGAGTCGAGGAGGGGAACCGAGGAGAGAGGAGCTGAACCGAGGAGAGAGGAGGGGAACTGAGGAGAGAGGAGTCGAGGAGGGGAACCGAGGAGAGAGGAGTCGAGGAGGGGAACCGAGGAGAGAGGAGGGGAACCGAGAAGAGAGGAGTCGAGGAGGGGAACCGAGGAGAGAGGAGCTGAACCGAGGAGAGAGGAGGGGAACTGAGGAGAGAGGAGTCGAGGAGGGGAACCGAGGAGAGAGGAGGGGAAGCAGCAGGCGGTTAGAGAAATGAGAACTCCTCTCCTCTGAGCGGTCATTTTAAAGAGACGTCCATTAATGATGACAGGAGGCACAGCAGCCCTCTGTCTGATGGACAGATGTGTTCATGACGACTTGTATATTTACTTTTAATTCATTCACAGTGCGGTATGATGAGACAATAACAGGCTACAGATGCAGACACACACACACACACATATATGTATATATATATATATATATATACATATATATATATATATATTCTGTTTGTATATATATATATATATATATATATATATATATGATTTGAAAATCAAACAAGTATCAGAGCACTCTCACAACGTAACAATATCAAAGACTGAATATATCCCCCCCCCCTCTCTGGTCACTACAATGGTTTCTGACCTTCAGCCACTCATCACTGGGGTCCCACAGGTCTCCATCCTGGGGCCCCTCCTTCCCCCCCATACATATAATTTGTCCTAGTCGTTTTCTTTCATATCGCTCGTTGACGTTGTCAGTAAGTTTTAGCCAAATAAGGTCAAAACTATTTGATAGGTTGCAAAGTGACCCTGACGTACATTAAAACTTCACACCATAACATCAGAGCAGAAGTCGACTAAAGAGCGTCACCTCAGAGCAGACGCTCTCTAACAGCCTCAGGTCTGCAGCAGGACTTCAGACTCTTGTCCACGATGAACAGAAGAACTCAGCAGGAAATGGGTAATTCAATATATTCTAATTGTAATGTGTGTGAGTGTAAAACATTGCTTTCTTCTTTTACAGAGACATTGTCTCCATGTTTTCCTATTTATAGTGTTTCTGATTCTTGGTCAGATCTGAGCAGCAAAGTGTTTAAAAACAACATTTATTTCAAATGTGATTTTCAAACTGATGAACACAGAATTATAAATTCAATGCATTTGTTTCTCTCAGAATAAATTGAGTAAGAAACTGGCGATGTATCAACATCTTCTTCTGACAAAATCAATTTGATTATTTAAAAAAGTCAGATTTGAGTTTGTCTAATGGTTTTTAGTTTCAGCAGAAAGATATTTGTTTGTGATTTTAAAGAAAAAGTCAGGGTGAGAACCGAACAATTCTCTGTGTGTTTTTTAGTTCTGCTTTAGATTAATATCTGTGACTGGAGATGAACGTCATGCTTTGTCAGCGTGACCAGAACGTTTATTATACATTACAACTTTACAAATGATAAAATCCACCTTTCAGTGCAATGGTTCCTCATGGATGCTCAACACACTGGGAGTAAAACTGCATTAACATATAAATAATGTGTTTATCTTTCAGAGGAAATTGAAGAACAAGAAGATGACTATGTTAATGCCTCAAGAGGCGCTGTGGATAAAAAGAGAACCCGTCCAGGTGCATTATGAACACAAAACAATCCACATTTAATATTGTCAGAAATGGGATTTATGTAGCAATCATATAGTGTTCAAAAATGGGAGTGCAGAAAGTTGAAAGTGTGAATATTTAATCGTGTCTTTTTGTTCTAAATGTATCCTAAGCATCTGTGACTGTCATGTTGTTTAGCTTTTTTAACTGAATTATTATTTTTCAGGCCAGAGGTTTTTTCTTCTGATAGCAGTGTGTTGGCTCATACTGTTAGCCATCATGGGTCTCCGTATCTACTGTGAGTATCTTCTGTGTGAAAGTCAGTTCAACAGTTTGTATTAGATGTGACCTGAAGCTCTGTAACTCTGTCTGTTGACCCAACAACATCTCCTCTCTCTTTTGCTGCAAAGATTCTGCAATAGGAAGCTGAAATATGTGTTAAGGGCGAAGTGTGTGTGAAGGTGTCTTCCTGTTCTCCATATTTTGCAAAAGGCAGTGGTTTGAAATGTCAGAGCTGTTGTAAGATGTCTACAATACAGAGGAGACCAGTCGCTTTCCAAATGCATTTAGCTCTTTGCTATGTGAAGCAAACATGTGAACCCAGTCTTCCATGTTTATCAAGAACATTCAAACACTCAGAGACACAAGCCTTACAGCCCAACACCTTCCTCTGTCTGTGTCTGTAGTGACCTCTGAACTTTCAGGAAACAATGCCGAGCTGTACTCACGAATCCAGGAGCTGGAGACAAACTGGAAAGAGCACAACGCCAGTCGAGCTCAGTGGAGCATCGATTCCTACTGCTTAGGAAACACCGGTATGTTCAGATCCTATATATTAGGTCATAATTACAATGTTTTCATACTGCAGTCATGATGTTGATTGTTGGGACTCTGTTGTTTCAGATAAAAAGTGTCTACCTTGTCAGAAGGGCTGGTGGCTCTCTCAGCCCAGCTGCTATGCGTTCAATAACCCAAAACAGAAAACAGGGAAAACCTGGGAAGAAGCTCGAGAAGACTGCAAAGGAAAGATTTCAGATTTGGCTGTTGTACATGATCCTGCTGAAAAGGTAAGTCTATTAATATGATGCAATTAGAAAGTAATTGTGTTTTGTGTAGGTTTGAACACACTTTGGGTCTTTAGGTCATTATGTGTTTATTACAGTTTAATGTTTAAATATCTGACAACTCTCTCTGTTTTCCAGGAAGCCATCAATGCTAACAGCTTTGGAACTAATGTATACTGGATTGGTCTGAGAGTTGAAGATGGGAAATGGAAGTGGGTGGATGGAAGTGATCTGACTGATAGGTAAGAGACACGTTACTAAACACTTTGAATAATAACATCTATCAGTCTTCATCTAAACATCATGTTCTCTCCTCAGCTCCTGGATACCAGCTCCTGTTGAAGGTCACTGTGCAATGTTTTACAACGGCAGAGACACATGGTTATCATGGAGCTGTGATTATAAAGGCCCATGGATCTGCCAGAAGAAGGCTCTGTCTGTTTAAACAAATCAGTCATACTAAGAAGGTTTCTGGAAACTCTTTGAAAAAAAGATGAATTACTTCATTACTACAAAAAATAAAACAAAAAAAGTATAAAAAACAGTAATTCCAGAAACGTTTCACAAACTCGATACAAACAATAAAACACAAAAGTTAACTCATGTGGATTATTTTAAAATCAATGTACTTTTAGTTTGACTTAATTTCTATGGAGCTTGCTAAATTAATGCAAATATTTCTTTCTTTAACATTTTTATGGTGTTTTTATCAGATATGGATGGTTAAAATAGTTATTCTGTTTTGTGTGAATAATGTTATTCTATTGTGTTAGAGATGCAATGCTTAAACTCTGCAGATTATTGCAAAGATTATGGACCATTTTATTTGATTGCTTCTACCGGCCAACAGAGGGCGCTGCATCACTTGTTCTCAATACAATGTTCCAGAGTCTGTTTAATAACTATTTTCAAGATTCAAGATTCAAAGGTTTATTGTCATGACATTTAGAAACTACGGTGTAATTATGTAATGTATAAAAAATGTGATCGCAGGTTCCTTAACAGTGCAATTAACAAGACGTAAGAAATACATATAACAAACAACAATACAAATAGAAATAGTGCAAGCTCAGGTGTTTAATAGTCTAATGGCCAGTGGGATGAAACTGTCCCTGATACTATTCTGATGACGCACACTTTATGGATGATTTGTATCTATCTGTATTTCTATCTATGAGCAATGTCTTGTTTTACTCTGTTGTCACCAGTGAATAAATGTGCTGCCACACATTGTTGTTTTTGTCTTTCTCTTGAAAACATCAGTGCTTTAATCAAGTCTGGAGAAACAATCTTATTCATGGTGCGACCATTTTGATGAAAATAAGATAGAAGGAGATCAAGCCTCAATATTCAGTCACTCTGTCAACATCAGCACCAGCAGAGTTTCAGAGAGGGACAGGAAGTGGAGGTGAATTGGCCAAAAAAAGAGCAAACACTCAGTAAGATGTATGTATGATGATAAGATGTGATAATAGTGTTTAAACTCATCAATGCATCAGTGTCCATCAATGCTGCTCAGTTCCTCTAACCCTTATGTTGTGTTCAGGTCTCCTGTGACCCTTTTCAAGTTAACATTATATAATAACTACCCTCTAGTTTTTATCAGAACAAGGCTTCATGATATCCTCCACAACAGCTATATGAACTCTAACAAACTGATTTAGCCAAGTCTGTTGGGGGGCGTGGCATGAACAACATTTTCTAACAGAAGCTTGTTTTTTGTAACTTTTTCTAGCATGAATCTATATGGGTTGATTTTGACCCGTAACACCACAGAGGTTACTACAGTATAGTTAATAATATGAAGTTCTAAACACTTATTTTTTAAAATTGTATTCTAGTATTAGTCTATCATAGTCAGATAACATAATTACCCTTCTTCACTATAGGGAATATAATGAGTGAATTGAATCCCATTTTGTTCTTAAATATGTGGTGTAATGTGTTTTGGGATTGTACGGTTATGAATGCATAATAAGTTAGTTATCATGTCGTAAAAACAATATTGGATGATAGTCATTATTTTGTAGGGTTTTGGAGATAAATCATGGGTCAAAATGTACCCGCGAACACCATGAACGGTAACAGCTTTCGAACACACTTTTTGTCCCAAAGCAAGACACACACACCAAAATCATGTTACTGATTACATCGTGACTTATTGAAGGACCCAAGTATGTGTATTAAAATACAAGAGTTTCTTGTTTGTCAACCTAGGATGGCTTAGAGTAGAGGACAGAGTACAGCTACTTGCAATGGGCCTGGTCTACAAGATCCACTACACCTCTATGGTACCCATGTACATGTCAAAATTCTTCCCAAAGGTCAAGGAATACCATGATCATAACACCAGAGGGAGCTCCACAAATCATGTAAAACCCAGATTTGGCACAAAAAAGGGGGAATACACGTTTCGCAATTATGCCACATCAAGGTGGAACGCTCTTCCCACAACTGTAAAGGAAAGTAAAACTATACTTACCTTCAAAACCTCTCTTAAAGAGCACCTTCGGGGGAGAGCATTGCAAAACTGGCCCCGGTAATGGTACAAATCTCACCCTGTCGTACAATGGACAGCTTCCCCCCCCATCTATATATATACTCGCATTTTAGACTCTGTTACTAACTGTATATCTGTAGACTTGGTATGTCTTAAATGTCCGGTTAGGATGTATTAGAACGAAATCTAAAATGAAAATTGTAAATAAGCCATCTGTATGTAAAAAACCACCTGTATGTAAATTGTAAATAAGCCATCTGTATGTCAAATATGTCTTATATGTCTTAAATGATATGATGAATTGGAAATGGGGGACCCTGATGTAAACAAGACGAAAGTCTTTCTCTGGTCTGCATCCCCTTAACAATTGTATGTTTTGAGCTGTACTGTACTGTACCCAATATACAAGCTGTTAATAAACTTTTCAATCAATCAATCAATCAGATGGTTGGATTCAATTACTTTGGGTGCATGCTTTCACAGGAAGTTCCCAAACCAGTTTTATCAGTATTTGAGTGACTTGAAGAGGGTTTGTTTCTGACCTTCATCAACTCATCACTGGGGTCCCACAGGGCTCCATCCTGGGTCCCCTCCTTTATTTCTCCATACATATCTTTTGTCCTAGTCGTTTTCTTTCATATCGCTCGTTCACGTTGTCAGTAAGTTTGAATCAAGCCAAATAAGGTTGCAACATGTCTGACTCTGACGTACATTAAAACTTCACACAGAAGATTTGAGTTTTTCCCTTTGGTCTTTACTCTTGTTTTAAAAAGTCAGCATGATACACTTCTCCGTGTGTTTTTAGTTCAGATTTCCTGCTCTGTTCGTTGCGTAACTGCAACTCATTTTACATCGTTGAGTTTGATTATAAACTCCATCATTTAGTGAAATGGTTCCTCATGCGTGCTGAACATAATGGGAGTGAAGCTGCATATCTGATGAAACAGTATGTGTTTATCTTCCAGAGGAAATCACAGAAGAAGCTGACTATGTGAATGCACCAGAAGGCCCTGCGGATAAAAAGGCAACGCGTCCAGGTGAGCTGTGAACACAAGCAAACATGAGATTTATTTAACAGTCATGTTATTTAAAAATTAAAAAGTGATGAAGATTAAACATTTGAATATTAAATCAGCTCTTTTTGTTTTATAATAACTGTTAATTCATGTTGTTTAGTAACTTAACTCAGGCCAGAGGTTTCTCTTCTTCACTGTATTTTCCACCAATAGCAGTGTGTTTGCTGATTATAAAATCCATCTTTTGTCCAATGGTTTTGAAGTTTGATCATATTGGGAGTTAAATGCACATCAATGTTTTATTTTTTTTCATTAGTTCACATATTTTGTTCCAAATCTATTTCTGCGATTTCAACCATATTCTGTTTAAATACTGCTATATTTTAGTACATTTTTGAATATTTTTAAATGTTATTATATTTTTCTTAAAATATTTTTCTACCTGTGTTTTATTTTTATTTATGTACCACGACATCAAGCCAAATGCCTCGTATGTGTTAACCTACCTGGTAATAAACCTGTTTCTGATTCTGATTGTGACACATTACGTTTATATTTTTCAGAGGACACCAGAAAAGAAGCTGCACCAGAAGGCACCGTGGATACAAAGGCATCCCCTCCAGGTGCCTGATCAATACATTTCACTATTTAATACTGTTAACATGTTTAAAAAAACATAAAGGTAAAACAGTGAGATAGTGACAAAGGTTGAAATGGTTTAGCTATTTTTGTGGTGTGTTTATAATGTATTGAAAGCATTAGCTTAGCCTGTTAAATGGTTTTAGGTGTTAGGATAAAGCTAAACTCCTGAGCTTGCACTTTTAGTGTTTTTTGAATTTATTTTAAGTCTTGTACATGTTTATATTACATGTTTTAACCAACCTGTGACCTCAGTCTTTATCTGTGTATATGACTTTAAAACCTTTGAAACCTTACAAAAGGCAGTGGTTTGAATCGTCAGAGCTGTTGTAAGTTGTCTACAATACAGAGATCAGTCGCTCCGCCTGTTATCTCTCCAAATGCAGTTAGCTCGTTGCTAACTTGTTGCTGCTCTAGTGAAGTTAGCCGGCTGTGGCTGACATGTTCCTATGGTTCACTTTTTCAAAGGACAGGTCTGTCAGACGCCCACATGTACATAGAAACAGTTGGTGTTAGGTGTAATCCTGCCTCCTGTTAACACTGGCCCTGTGCAAAGATGTATTTCAGAAGAGGTTTTTTGTTTCACTTTCAAATCAAATCAAATCAAGTTTTATTTATATAGCACATTTTTAAACGATTTTTGGTCGAGCCAAAGTGCTGTACATATAATAAAAATACCCTACAGTAAAGACACTTTACAGCAAATACAACAGCACAGTTTGTGCAGAATATCAGTATGAGAAAACGACACCCTCTGTCCTTAGACCCTCTGTCCTTAGACCCTCTGTCCTTAGACCCTCACATCGTACAAGGAAAAACTTCCAGAGAAAAACCCACAGTTTAAAGGGGAACATGGGAGAAACCTCAGGGAGAGCAACAGAGGAGGGATCCCTCTCCCAGGACGGACAGACGTGCAATAGATGCCGTGTGTAAATCGAAGAGAAAATACATTTTACAGCATAGGTAGGTAGACCGAATGTTTGGAAATGCATGTGTCTATAATAAGAAGATGAATCCACGAGGATGTCAACAACAACCCTGTGGGAGCCTTCAGGGAAGTAGCATGATGAGAGTCAGGCAGGACCGCAGAAACAGGTTCAGCCACGACTCGAAGTCCACGACTTTATCCAGAACTCAGGATAGAGGATCCAGGGCACAGGACCACAGCAAGAGGATCAGCCTCGACTCAGGATCCCGGCGTCGATATAGACACAAAACAAGAACATTTGGGGGAGGCTGGGTTAATCGGAACAAGAGAGTACACAGGTACAGACAGGCAGAAGGAAGAACAAGCACTCCCTTAGGATAGGTTGAGGGGAAAGGGTAGCAAGTAAGAGAGTAAGAAACAGAGGTGGAGAGGCACACGCAGGGAACAAGGTCCCCACTGGAGCCTTAGTTGGAATTGGTGAGAGGTAAGGAGGTACGCTGTGAATACGAATCATAACACTCCCCGGCCTGCCTCAGCCACTCTGCAAACCTGTTTCCCTCTAATAAAACCTCGAGAGGTCAGAGAGGGAAAAGGTTTTTGGATAAAGAGAGGATAGAAAGAATAGATTACAGGAGTAGAGAGTATGAGAAGTAGAGAGAGAAAAGATTTAGAAGAATGAGTAGTAGTAATAACCTTATTTTTAAATATAAGATCCAAGTTTGTTTATCTTCTACTTTAGAAGATAAACACTTGATTTAACAATCTTAGACCATCAATGCTGCTCCGTTCACATGTTTATATGTGCGTCTGACTATTGTTTTAGGAAAGATAAAACATATGAACGTGTTCTTTAATGTCTATTATGATCATTAATCACTCAGAGACACAAGCCTTACAACACCTTCCTCTGTCTCTGTAGTGACCTCTGAACTTTCTGAAGACAACGCCAAGCAGACTGCAGAGATCCTGAACCTGACATCAAGAATCCAGGAGCTGGAGACACGGGAGAATCTCACGGACCAGTTGGGTAACCTGACACAAGCCTTTACTGTCTCAGAAAGCAACGTGAAAGACCTGTCTGCAGAAGTCCAGGAGCTGAAAACACGAAACCAGGAGCTGGAGACCAAGAAGAAGAACTTGACACAGC